CATTGGGTTTTTTTCCAAGGCTTATGCACTATTTTTTTTCCCTTTTGAACCTCAAAGCAGATAGATAGATGAATAAATGAATGACTTTTACCTTCGTCTCCTTTTCTTTTTCCTAGACCAGTGGTTTTGAACCTTTAGTGGGCATCAAAATCATCCACAAGACCCCATCCCCAAAGTTTCTGATTCAGATCTGGGCAAGACCTAAAAATTTGCAATTCTAACAAATTCCCAGCTGATGCTCTTGCTGGTAGTGTGAGGGCCATATTCTGAGAACTATGGTCCATTTTGTTCCTATAAACCTGAAACTTGAAGAAATCTTACAGTTTGCTCTTTTTTTTTTTTTTTTTTTTTTTTTTAGGGTAAGCTCTGTATAGTGACTTTTTGAAGCATACATGGTATCTGTTAGGCCTGTATTTTCTTGGTAAGTAATTTTTGTTCATGTTAATAGAAGGTCAAAACATAAGTATTATTTATTGAAGAGATACACCTTACCAAAATCAAGCTCTGGCCCTACAGCCATGTTACTGGAAGATTTTTCACCTTTAGAGTAGGATATAAGCTTTACCAAACCTTCCAGAAGTTCTGAATGGCAAGTTGGAACTCTCCTGCCCCAGTTTGACCTTGAGAGGGACTACAGCTGCTGAGACCGTTTAAACCACACATGACTACACATGTTGACAGATTTTGCCATCAGCTGTTTTACTCTCCCATACTAAGAAGCATCTCTTGCCCTTTTTTCTTTCCTTCTAGGCATCAATAGGAAGAATGGGAGCACGCATCTTCCCCTATTTAGATACATTGGTACTGAAGGCAACTTTGTTCACTTGATAGAATAGTACTCTAAGAAATTGCTTGAGTGTTCCTGAGCCAGGGCTGAATGTTAACATAACAATGTAACATTTCTGCTCTCTCTATTCTGCACTTGATAATGAAGTGGTCTATCCATGCTTGAACCCTTGGCTGACTTGTCCTAGAGGTTTTATGGATAAAAACTTGGATATAGAAAATAACTTATAGTAAGGAAAATCTGTCTTCACTTATATCTGTAGTTGCATTTTTACATCATAGACAAATGTTTACAAAATTATCTTAGGTGATTTGATATGCAGTTACCTATTTTATGTGATTTACAGTCCTAAGGAGTCCTAGGGGACTAGGACTAGGCCTAGTTTATAGAACACATGTTACAACATTCGTTTTCTAAAAGTCTGAATATTCATTTGATGATTTCAGATGCAATTCCTTCTAAAGGCATTTTAGGTACCTACCACTAGTATTTCCAAAAGGTACGTGTAGCTCTTAGCTCTCTCAGAGCTCATAATGTGTCTTGGCTAGGGCAGAGACATGTGAAAAAACATGTGCAGTTCTTGTTAATGGCAGCTGTATATGGCTGTTATATTGGGGTTCATGTGTAATCCCAGGCACATAAGCCATCTATCTGTAAACACTTAAAGCATGAAGTTAGTTAAGATGAACTGTGAAAACAGATTGATCTATGCACTTTCTGTTTTATCTCAGAATACTAAACACGGGGCTCTCATCTTCTTCCTCAAGCCTGTACTTTATTTTTATTCAAAAGACTGCTTGTAGAAGTGGAGCTACAATGTTGAATGTACGTTAGAACACAACTTTTGTGCCAAATAGTAAAGAGGGGAAAAGCTAGATCTGGGGGCATTTTTCTTTTAAAATTTGGCTTTTGAAGATAGATACTGGATAGATGCTGCTGTTATGCTCAAGCAGATGTTTCCATCCATAGCCCTCCCTTCCCCCAGGAGGTTCACTTCACACATCACATCTTAAACCCTGTTCCTTTCTTCCCTGGAATATTTCTATTTTGGTCTTATGAACCTGAAACCTAAAGAAACCTTAGTTTGCTCCTATTTCTTTTAGGAGAAGCCCTGTATAGTGACTTTTTGAAACATACATGGTATCTATTAGACTTGTATTTTCTTGGTAATTAGAATGATTATGCCTAGTAGTACCCCCACAGGGCAGGATTGAAATAGAAATGAGTAAGTAAATAAACACATAAAATAGAAATAATGATAGGTAGCCTTCAACCTACCAACATAAAATTGATACCAATTTAGTATTCTTTTTTTGTATGGTGTTAAAGAAGTTAAAAGTCTTAACATTGAGCATTGGACAAAATACACTCTGCTTTTCTGTTGTAAGGCTGTTATCTAGGACAGGGATCTTGGCTGGGTAAGCTACAAGATCTCATCTTTGTATATCCTAATTTTACCCTTGCCTTAGCTATTTCTTTTCAGGTAGAAGATACAACTGGGATCAATTGTGAGAAGAAGTCTATATGACTCACTAACCTAACAGCTGATTTTAAGATTCTAAAGATTAGAGGCTCCTATATTTTAATTCCAGCTCTCTGACCTGGTGGAGTGAGTGTGGCCAGGCAAGCATTCCCTGTCTGAATGGTGTGACTGGCCTTTCTGAGGGCTAGCCTGCCTGCAGCCCTGCTCACATGCTTGCAGGTGTCACTGAGGACCACTGTAATGCCTAGAATGTGCTCCATGTGGAAATGTTATTACCCTGTCATCTTAAGCAGGAGATTTTAATTGTTCGAGAGTTGCTCAGTCCATTAGTTTGACTTTGATCAGGATTGTATATTGAAGAGTCCTGTACCAGGCATTTCCATGCTCAATATAGTGTATGAGGCTCAGCTTTCATACTCTGTATTCAACCCTGGAATGGCTACTGCAGAAGCTGGTGAAACCTTAACTGAACTGAACAGGGTGTATATTTGCCTCTTGTGTGCCAGGTGCCAAGATAGGCCCTGGGTGTCCCAAACGCATAGTCTCAGTCCTCATGCATTTTACAATCTAGTGACCAGATTGTACCTAAATATACTTGGAAGGATTCATATTTTAAAAGCAAACTGGATTTTATTTATATATACTCATATTTAACATATACTCATATTTAACATGAGTATTTGTTTTTCTCTTTATTTTTATTTATTTTATTTATTTTTGAGATGGGATCTCACTCTGTTACCCAGGCTGCAGTGCAATGGTGCACTCAGCTCACTGTAACTTTGAACTCCCAAGCTAATTTTAAAAAATTTTTGAGCCAGGCTCGGTGGCTCAGCCTGTAATCCCGCGCCTTTGGGAGGCTGAGGTGAGTGGATTGCCTGAGCCCGCGGGTTCGAGACCCGCCTGGGCAGCTAGACCTCATCTCTGCAATAAATAAAAAAATCAGCTGGGTGTGGTAGCGCGCACCTGTAATTCCAGTTACTTGGAAGGCTGAGGCGGAAGGATTGCCAGAGCCCAGCAGGTCGAGGCTGCGGTGGCCGGGAGTGGCCACTGCACTCCAGTCTGGGCGACAGAGTGAGACTCCAACTCAAAAAAAAAAGAAAGAAAGAAAGAAAAATTTTTGGAGACCAGTCACAGTGGCTCACGCCTATAATCCCAGCACTTTAGGAGACTGAGATGAGAGGATTGCCTGAATCTACAGGTTTGAGACCAGCCTGGGCAACTTGGTGAAACTTTGTCTCTACAATAAATCAAGAAAAATTAGCTGGGTGTGGTGGCACATGCCTGTAGCTCCAGCCCCTTGAAAGGCTGAGGCAAAAGGATTGCCTGTGCCCAGCAGGTTGAAGTTACCTATGGCGGTGACCATACCACTGCACTCCAACCTGGGCAACACAGTGAGACTCCCCAACTAAAAAAAATATATATATATATATTTTTTGGTAGAGACAGGGTCTCACTCTATTGTCCAGGTTTTGTGCTTCTGGCCTCAAGCAATCCTCCCACTTTGGCCATCTACATGGATATTTAATACTAGTTAATTTGGACAGAAAGTAGGGCAAAGAGGGGAAGAAAGTAGAAAAATGATAACTGTTCGCAAATATTTTGTGCTTGTCATGTAGAAGGATTAGATTTAAGTTGTGCTGCTTGAAGGCAGACTTGGTCCTTGTATGTTTATTTGAGAAATATTTTAACTCTTAGTCATGCAGTCAACAAGTGCCAGACAGTATGGTAGCTGCTGCTAGAGATACAGTACTGAATAAGCTGCAGTCTGTCCCTAGGTGCAACTTCTAGTAAAGGAGACGTGTTTAGTAACTAATTACACCTGTTTAATTGGGTTTTGGTACGTGACACAAAGAAACATAGGCTGCTGTGGTTATAACAGGGTACCTGACCTAGTCTGGCAGGTGGGAGTGGGAGGGAAGCAGGGGCCTAGGAAGAAGTGAGTGTTTAAGCTGAGATTTTAAGGATGAAGAGTTAGTTTTGGAGGAACCAAGGGTGTCTTTTAGGCTCAGGGACAACTTGTACATGGTGCCCAGGTGGGGAAGCAATGGCTTAGCCGAGAAGCTGAAAGGCTAGTGAGGCAAGGTAATAGGGAGGGAAGGGGACTGTGGCGGGGGGGTAGATGATGCAGGTCCACTCTGTGCTTTGTGCCTCTTGCTGTTCCTGCTGCCAGGACCTGCCTCACATGACTTCTGTGAAACTCGGTGTGCCCACACTGTGCCAACGGCTGTAGGATGCATCATCTCATTTAATCCTCACACAGCCTTGTGAGGTTGATGCTATTATTATTCTTTCTTTACAGATGAGGTAACAAGATTAGACGTTAGAGACTTAAGATAAATAGCCAAATGTTACACGGCTAATAAGTGGCAGAGCTTGGGTTTCAACCCAGAACTCTCTAATTCTAGAGCCTATCCTGTCCATTCATTTATAGCTCTAATAGACATTAACAAAGGGCAGAGATTACAAGTTCAGCACAGAATAAAGAATTTTCCAGCAACCAGCTGTTCAGAAACATAGACGGGGAGAAGCACGTGCTCCCAGTGATTATAAGTGTTCATTCCAGTGGAAACCAGATGGCCACCTGTCAGGACTAGAGTGGGAAGGAGGTTGTGCCAGATGAACCCCAAACTCCCTATACTCCCATTTGATTTCATCTGGGATTTTGCTACATGTAAGATTACTTTGTTTATATATATATATATAAAAATGCACTTTCTCCCCCTTCAGTGACCATGAAAGACACCAGGTTGACAGCACTGGAAGCTGAAGTACCAATTTTCCCCAGAACAGGTAAGGTGCACACTCAGTTCAGTGATTGGGGGAAGATGGGAGGGAATTATTCACCTTGTCCATGGTTGTACCAGTACATAGGTGCTTTTTTGCATTCAGGGATTTAACATTTATTGTTTTAGCAGCTTGCCAGGAACTGGATCATCTGTGGCATGAAGTAATTAGTCAAATTCCTGATGACAATTAATTGTTGTTCAGTGCCAGGCAGTGTGCTACTTGCCTTACTTGTTTTCTTCATAGCCACACCTTTGCTGTATCTCCATTTTACAGGTAAGGATTCAAGCTCAAAGATGTTATGTAATTTTCCTAAGGACACGTAGCTAGTACTTGGTGGACTCAAATCAGTTCTGCTTAGCAGTAAAGTTTGGTTTTAACTACAAAATTAAAGTAAAGCCTGTGTGCTGGCACAAGTCATTTAGCTAGTGCAGAGGTTCTTAACTCTGGTTACAACTTAGAAATCCACATGAGTTGATAAAAATAAACCAAATGTGGTATCTGAACCTCTCCCCTTAATCTGCTTCAGAGTAAGGCCTGGGCTTTCAGGATTTCTAAATCTTCCATGTGATTCTAATGTACATCCAGGGCTGAGAACCCCTGTTCTAGTGACTGAGCATTTGTATCGTAATGTGGCTATATACTATATTAATGGTCTTGAATTAGTTTTGGAGGATAAATTAAATGCTATAGTGGTTTTTGGGAATTGGATCATTCACAGAGTCTCGGAATATAACCTTCATAAATATTGAGGCTCTGGCATTTCCATGGATATTAGTTTAGTTTAAGTGACCTAACTGATCATTGAACTGTAATTTTGAGTTTAATAGCAATAGAGCCAAATGCAGCAGAGTTGTATACAGGAAGGGTGTAGGGAGGGTAGGGGAGGTGTCTGATCTACTGTCTTTATATACAGACAACTATGTGATTTGTGTCATGGCTCAGTAGTTGGCATTTACTGCTTTCTTTCACTGTCTTCCTCACCTCTATCATAGGAATTGTGAAATAAGGTAGGGATTTTTGTGTTACAGATCCATATTAGTTCATAAACAGGTACTCAGTACAGACTATAGCCCAAGAAGGTAGAAGTGTCATTCTCTCAGAGTATGGAAAGTTTTCTGGGTTTGACTTTTCATTTTCAATTATTTTGCATGTACTTCATACTGTTTCATTTTTAGAAGTCTGCTGAATATGAATTTAAACCCAAAGTCAAATGGTCAAGTGTTTAGATCTTTGAGGCTCAAACTGAGCATTACCATAACAAAATTTAAACTCTGGGATGTGAAAGTCAATCTCAGGTTTTACTAAGCATTTCTCTTGATCACAATTGTATTATGTTTTAGTAGTCAGGTTTTTAAAGTTTGTGTTTTTAATGTAGGAAAAATACGTTGTGAGCACGACCAGCTGCTAGGTTGCTCCTGTGGTCACTGTGTCACATGTGTGATACCATCTCAAGGGGCACAGTTCATCCCATTGTTAACCTTTTTGGCCAAAGCAGAATTCAGGAAAGCTTCTGGTAGATGATTTTCTAGAAGGAACCTTGTACTAGGAATTTGTAGATTGACAAGCCTCAAAGAGCCTTCCTTTTCAATTACTAAAAATTTGTTGGCAGCAGTAATTTTTTTAAAGAGTAAAATCCAGCTTTTAATAGCATTTTTCTTTTTTCATGGGGTTCTTGTTTATATATATTTTTTCTTTTTAAAGAAATTTGTTGACAATAATTGTACATATTTATTATTTGATTACTAGATATTGTTTACATATATATCAGTCATTTCAACAAGCTTTTAAAAAAATTTTAGCCTCCATAGACTCAAAACTACAAGAAATTCTCTTAAAACATTTTGTAAAGTCTGTTTTGAAATTTGATTAGTGAATATAAAATGTTTTGGGTAGTTCATTTTTTTCTTAACATTATTTTCTTTGTACTCTTTATCTTAACAATTATTTAAATCATGGATGCTGTTGACTGTGATTATGGATTTTTTCATTTAAAACATTTTTTTAAATAAAGTTGAAGTGACAAGTTTGATGTTATATATTAAATTCAGTCTTATGAAATGTGAAGTACTTCCAAACTCCTAACAAGTTTTTATTGGAAAACCACAAGTTGAAATTCAGTTCTTTTTTTTTTTTTTTTTTTTGAGTTGGGGTCTCACTCTGTCGCCCAGACTGGAGTGCAGTGGCCGCTCTCAGCCACCGCAACCTCGACCTGCTGGACTCCGGCGATCCTTCCGCCTCAGCCTTCCGAGGAGCCGGAATTACAGGCACGCGCTACCACGTCTGGCTAATTTTTTGATTTATTGTAGAGATGAGGTCTCACCTGTCCAGGCGGGTCTCGAACCCGTGGGCTCAGGCAATCCACTCACCCCAGCCTCCCAAAGGCGCGGGATTACAGGCTGAGCCACCGAGCCTGGCGAAATTCAATTCTTAAAGATTATTTTGCTTGTAATAAATACTATAAAATAATTCTAGGAAAGTTAGAATTAAGGTGGGATTTAGTTTGTTATTTAGTTATGACTTATTTAAAATTTAATAACACTTGGGTCAAAGAACATATACTGTTATTTATAAAGTTATTTAGCTAAACTCTTAATGTTCATTTTATTAGTTAATATGTGTAGCTATTTGAAAGTTCTTAATTGTTTTTTAATATAAAGCTCATATTCATCATTAATTGAAGTTTTTATTTTTGTAATAAGTATACATTTTATAGTTACACTGACAGAATTGCAACTTATGAAACACAGAACTTGGATGCTTCATCTAGAATGTTTTGCCTTTATTTGAAAGTGAATATTCAGATGTTAACTTATTGTTAAGTCTTCTAAATACATTCCTTGTCCACATCACTGATGTTATGTAGATAGATAATATGGTGGTAACAAGAACATACAGTTATTGATCACACGCAAGGTCAAGGATGCCAGAAATGCCACTGAGATAGGCATTTAACTATTCAATCTTCAAACCTTCTAAAGCTAGCTTCCAAATTTTAGCCAAGTATAGAGACAACAACCAAACTTTGGTAAGTCCTACTTTCCTTACTTTTTGAGATCGAGTATTCGGTTTGATCAAATCTGATGACCAGTTGTAGAGTTTAAACTCGATTCAAGGTTCCTCATAAATTTGGAAGTATCTTTTATTCAAAGGCGATATTTAAGATCTTCCCTGCTGTTTTGAACTGGCTGGTTAGAGGAGGCCACTCAAAGATGACATGTTGAGCAGAGACCTGGGAGATAGTCAGCCATGCAAGGATGTGGGAGAAGAGCACTCCAGGCTTAGAGGGGACAGGAAGTGAAAAGGACCTGAGTGAGAAAGAACCAGTTTTCATGTGTTTGAGAAGACTGGTACTAGAGCAGAGAAATGAAGCAGCAGAGGAACGTTGGGGGGTTAATAACTGGCTGGATCTTATGGGGCCTTGTAGGCTACTCAGTTAGTTTGACTCTTATTAGCTCTATGGAAAGCTACTGGATGATTTTAAACAGAGTAATGAACCTTTCCAGTAGTGACGACTTACCCACAAGAATGTGCCTCTCGCAAAGGCTCTCCTTCATCTCTTTTCAGAAGAAAAGAGGAAACACAAGAAGCGCCTGGTTCAGGGCCCCAATTCCTACTTCATGGATGTGAAATGCCTAGGATGCTATAAAATCACCACAGTCTTTAGCCATGCATAAAAGTTTTGTGTGTTGGCTGCTCCACTGTCCTCTGTCAGCCTATAGGAGGAAAAGCAAGACTTACAGAAGGCTGTTCCTTTGAAGGAAGCAGCACTAAAATTTGCACCCTGTATCAAAATGAGTGGAAAACTATCCCAATAAACACATTTTGAATATTTAAAAAGAAACAGAGGAGTCATAGATTCTGATGTTCATATTTCAGAGCCTCTTGTGGTTGTTTGGTGGTGAATGAATTGTATGGCAGCATGGATACAACTGGGGAGAGTAGTGAGGGAGGCTGCTGCTCCTTACCTCCAAGAGAGGAATGATGGGGGTTTAGACTGGGATGATAGCAAAGGAGAGAGCAAAACAGGTTTGCTGACAAGTTAGAAATGGTGGTGGGGCTGGTAGAAGAGTCATCTGACTATTTTCTTTAGTCTGATGATATCACCTTTTATTGAGATCCAGCAGAAGGCAGAGTGACAGGTTTTGGAGTGGGGAGGGGACAGTGAAGGTCATAACTCCTTGATATGAATAGAGGCATCTACATTTACTGTGGTATGTGGCCACTAAAGATAATAGTAAACTAAATGGAATGTTGCTTTAGCATGTAGAATAGAGCAATGTGTTCACCTAGATGCTGTCTTTTGACTTCTCCTGTATGTTATTTCTGTGATGGGTTACTTCTAAAATAGAAAAGAGACTTTTATGACTAAGCTTCAGTGTGTCTGTGGTGCTGATCTTTAAGTGATAGGCTATAAAGTGTGTTTAACATGTGAATGTTCCATCCACCACTGCCACAGAGTCCAGGTCAAGCTGTTCTCTTCCCTTCTCTGTGCATATAGTGAACCATGTCTATTTTTCTACTAGAACACATATAATTTTTCATTGCATTTGTTAAGTATATCTTCCTTACTAATCATTGTGCCCTTTACTATATCCTCAAGAAATATTTGAATGAGTTTTTTAAAAAAGGGATATTCTAGTTATGGGACTAACCCCAAGAGTTTATGATTTAACTATCACGAGAGCTTTTTAGAATGTCAAAAATGCTTGAACTTGGGTTATTTATACAAAGTATGTCACATAAACCCAAGATTTAAATTTTTTTCTATGGCAAAGATTCTGACATGAAGCCTAAGATTTATGTTTTTCATGGGGTTTTACAGTATAATTGTAGAACCAAATATGCTTTACAGTATAATTGTAGAACCAAAGAGAAAAGCTTGTTGCCCAAAATGTTCTAATGTGTTTTAGGATAAAACCTTATTTTTGCAAGCTGGGAAACAAGCTATATAGCCCAAGCTGATTAGCCCAGACTATGGCCAAGATGACTGGATGGGCGCCATCTTTGTTTAAAATTGAGCTCGTGTCACTCTGGACTCTGGCACTGCCTGCATTTGGAAGACCAGGTCTGATGTTATTGTCTTTTTAATACACAGAAGGCAAGCTCAGAGTCTCACTAGATGGAAAGTAGGTAAGTAGCAATTTTATGGAAACAAAACCAAGCATAGGGACAAAGTACTTTTAAATTTGTATATTGCATTCTTTATCACTAATTGAAAATCATTTGATGATTGAAGTCTAGCTATAGTAGAAATAAATGTGAGGGTTAGCTAGATAAATGTGCTGTTAAAAAGTCATCTTGAAAGTGGTGGCCCAGAGATTTTTACTAGTATTTTTTTTGTGGTAATACACAGGTAAGTATGAACCAACAACTTCCTATATTGTGATTTGCTATCAAAAATGCATTTAGACATTTTAGTTGATTTTTCTCATTAATGAACTTTGAATTCACCAAGAGCTAAATCAGTGAGTGCCACCAGGTTGTAATTAAACCAAACATACATAGTATAAGTTAATACCTGGTAGCTTCAGGGGTCATTCTAATTTAAATTTAATTCTTCAGTTAGATTTTTCTTTAGCATAGTGTTTCTTTTCTTTTTCTTTCTTTCTTTTTTTTTTTTCCAAGTAGGCATCTGTTGCCCAGACTGCAGTGCAGTGGTATGCTCATGGCCACCGCAGCTTCAACCTGCTGGGCTCAGGTGATCCTTCCACCTTCCAAGTGGCTGGAACTACAGGCATGTGCCACCATGCCCAGCTAATTTTTCTGGATTTATTATAGAGACAAAGTCTCACCAAGTTGCCCAGGCTGGTCTCGAACCCCTGGACTCAGGCAATCCTGCCACCTCTGCCTCCCAAAGTGCTGGTATTACAGACTTGAGCCCCCATGCCTGGCCTAGCATAGTGTTTCTCAAACAGGGCTTATGTATCATTTATATACGAATCACCTGGAGTACCTACTAAAATACAGATTTCTGAGCCCAAAATTCAGTTTTGGAATGGGCCCAGGAAATTGCATTTCTTTTCTTTTTTTTTTTTTTTAAGTCAGAGTCTCACTCTGTTGCCCAGGCTGGAGTGCAGTGGCACACTCACAGCCACTGCAGCCTCAACCTGCTGGGTTCAGACGATCCTTCCACCTCAGCCTCCCGAGTAGCTGAAACTATAGGTATGCATCACCATGCCCGACTACTTTTTTTATTTATTGTAGAGACGAGGTCTCGTCGTGTTGCCCAGGCTGATCTTGAACCCATGGACTCAGGCAATCTTCTTGCCTCTGCCTCCCAAAATGCTGGGATTACAGGCATAAGCAGTTCTAACAATCATCCCAGGTGGTTTTGATACACACTAAAGCTTAAGAACTGCTACTTCGTTTACTAAAGAAAAGCAGAGGCAAAGAATAATCCTTTTTTGGGTATCCATGTCCCCATTTGTAAATTAAGGATGATACCTGCTCACCTCACAGAGTTGCTGAGTGAGTTTGGTGTCATATTTAAGGGCTTGGGACTTTGGAGTCATGCAGCTCTGTTGAAATGTCAGTCTTTCTTCCTGGTTTTGCCTCTTGCTGGCTTTGTGACCCAGTGCAAATGGCTACTCTCTGTTCCCCTCCCTATTGAGTAGGGACAGAAGTGCCAATTACATAGTAGTAGCATTAGGAGTATATACAGTGTACTCCCAAAGTGGGAAGAAGTAATCAATCATAAATGTGTATAGTAACACTTGGGGAATGAGCTGCGTTTTGTATATCAAGATAAGGCAACTGCACTACTACCATAGAGAGCTGGGTCTTGAAGGGTGAGTTTTTGAAGGTTTGCCCTGATAGTCCTTGTCTGTGGCTACTTCCCATGGCATTTGGGTGTGCAATTAGATGTCTAGGAGGAGGAATGTATGCTAAAATAGAGAAATGATCTTAATTCATGCTAGGTGTTAGACTTGTGACCTAACTCACTGTATTCACTTTTAGATATTGATGAGATTGTCACGAAGGAAACAGTACACTTTTAGTTCTGTTTCTGAAAATAGTCTACTTTTTAGATCAGTGAGTTAAAATATAGACATAGTCTTAGCCAAAACCTAAGAAGTAGGAATGAAACTTAAATTTAGTCTTGTCATTAAGTTGTTGTGATAATCGGTCTGACTAGCATCAGTTTTTTAGGTCTCTCTCTAATTGTCACATTCTGTAGAACTCCTCTTATTTCATAAATTTGTCAAAGAATTATTCATACTCCCTTTCTTCTTCTTTCAGCCAAACTGAATCGCTGAACCAGAAAGTTCTGACCAAACTTTTCCACTGTATTGAGCACATGTGCCAGTTTGTCTTGCAGATCGTTCTTTGTGGGGAAAAGTGGGACCATTTAGTTATACTCTTTTTCTTCCTTTTTCTCAGTCTGGTAGTGGCCCTAATGAAGAGCCTTCAGAGCCTGTAGCACACATCCTGGAGCCGGCACAGCACCTTCGTGTGAGAGAATGGCCCAACAAGCGAACGTCGGGGAGCTCCTCTCCATGCTGGACTCCCCGATGCTGGGTGTGCGTGATGACGTGACAGCTGTCTTTAAGGAGAACCTCAATTCTGGTTAGCAAAGTCATATCCTTTTTAGTTTATCTGCTAAAAAGAAGACAATGACCTAGAGCCAACTAGAATCCTGCTGATACATTTTAGTTTTCATCTTCTGAAGAGAGTTTTTGAAGCCACCAAGAAAGCATGTATTGGTGCATTCACTTTATATGTGTTTTAAACTTTAATTATGAAACTATTCAAATATATGCACAATACACAGAACTAAGAATCATGCAGTGAACCCATGAACCCAGTTTCAAAGTTTCTGCCATTCTGGTTTCATCTTATCTCCCTGACTGTCCCTTACTCCCCAAGTATGTTATTTTATTTTGTCATTTTATTTATTTTGAGTCAGAGTCTCTCTCTATCATCCAGTTACTGCAGCCTTGACCTTCTGGGCTCTGATGATCCTCTCACCTCGGCCTTCCAAGTAGCTGGAACTACAGGCATGTGCCACCACGCCTGGCTAATTTTGGGGGGCATTGCCAGGTTGTCTAAGCTGGTCTTGAACCCCTGAACTCAGGCAGTCTTTTCACCTTTGCCTCCCAAAGTGCTGGGATTATAGGAGTGAGCCACCGTGCCCAGCCCTCCCAAATATATTATTTTATTTTATTTTTTTGAGTTGGAGTTGCCCAGGCTGGAGTGCAGTGGAACACTCACAGCCACCCCAGTGTCAACCTGCTGGGCTCCGGCGATCCTTCCGCCTCAGCCTTCCAAGTCATTGGAGCTATAGGCATGCGCTGCCACGTGCAACTAATATTTATTTATTGTTGAGACAAGGTCTCACCAAGTTGCCTGGACTGGTCTTGAATCCACGGGCTCAGACAATCCACTCACCTCTGCCTCCCAAAGTGCTGGGATTATAGGCTGAGCCACCAAGCCTGGCCCCTCCCAAATATTTTAAAGCAAGTACCAGACATACCATTTCAACTGTAAATCATATGTGTGGTTTTTAATATGAAAAGTACTTAATCTTTCTTTAATCTGAGATGTGCAGATTTAAATGGTACTCTTTTTTGCTAATCAGGTTGGCAAAAATCAGATATTTATCATAGAAATGGGCACTGTTTTTGTTTGTTTTTGTCTTTGGGTCTGTTGCTTAGGATAGAGTGCAGTACACAATCATTTCTCACCACCATTTTGACCTCCTGTGCTCAGGTGATCCTTTTGCTTCAGCCTCCTGAGTAGCTGGGACTATAGGTGTGCACCACAACACTCTCTAATTTTTTATTTTTGTCAAGATGAGGTTTCGCTATGTTGCCTAGGCTAGTCTCAAACACCTGTCCTCAAGCAATCCTCCTGCCTTGACCTCCCGAAGTGCTGGGACTGTAGGTATAAGCCACTATGCCCGGCCTAAAATGGGCACTGTTAATAGAAGTATAAACTGTTGTTCAGCTTTTTGGAATATCTGTCATTAGTTTAAAAATATATACCATTTAGCCTACTGAGAAGAATCTGTATCTTATTATAGCCTTGGGTGAAATATAGCAAAACACTAGAAAAACCATAAGTAAAAGTTTAAATTGGTTACGTGGTGCTGTGCAGTAGAACACTAAGATGTCAGTGCAAAGAATCACATAGGTCATAGGTGCTGACAGGGATGGTGGCTACAACACATTGTTAAGTGGGGAAAAAAGCACATCTACACAAAGTGTGTCTATATGAACTTGAGGGCTTGGAATTATCTTATTGTTAAGCCTAAATAAAGAAGGCAGAAATATAATGCTACATAAAACTTGGGTTAGCGTATAAGGAAACATCTGTGACAGGCAGATTTTGTGGCAGGCAGCTATTTGAGGTAAATAGAGAATATTGAAGGAAATAAGTTTTGTAAATTGTCCTTTTCTTAATTTAGACCGTGGTCCCATGCTTGTTAACACCTTGGTGGATTATTACTTGGATACCAATTCTCAGCCAGTATTGCACATCCTGACTACCTTGCAAGAGCCACATGACAAGGTAACTGCTGAAACCAGAGAGGGCGTTTAATATGTTCTCTTCGAGGAATGTAACAGCTTCTATGCAAGTCCTCTGTATGAATTACCCAGAGCTTTTTCTGATGAATGCTGTATGCCACAGATGACCTTGTTCCCAGATTATAAACACATATAAAATAATTTGTAGGGCTCATGTTTCCTGAAAAGTTTATAAAATAAAACATATTGCAAAGGTTTAGAAATCTTGTTGTTTAAGGAAATCCTATAATTCCAGTACTTAATTGTATGGTGATTTGACTCATAAAGTACCCATCTTTCAACCCATGCTTTGAATAGGATTTTTAGACTTTTATCAATATGGGAAAATCTGTAAGTGCAGGAGGCCAAGGTGGCAAGTAATAAGTCCTATTTTCTAACATCAGGCACTTCCAAGGCTCCTTTGTGTTTCCCTTTTGTTTTTATATTTGTTTGTGATAGCTGTCTAACAAAGCATTGCAATTAAAGACTTTTGGTATGAGAGTGTCTTCTAGGATTTGAAGACCTTGCCATGGTGTGCCTTTTACAATACATCTTGCTTTTTTTCTTTATTCTGGGCTGCATCATACCTTCTCCTACTACCTCATTGATACTTGGGACCAAACAATAGGCTGGGTTGCTCTAGCAATACGTGTCTGCTTTCAGCAGAATCCCCTCCTGGCTTCAACAACCTGCCAGTTTGGGACTAGTGGTTTTTGGAAGAAGTGGCCTATTTGTACTCTTAAGTGAGGGCTATGAAGAGGTCTCCTTCCCTCTTGGAGACCTGAATTATGGGGTCCTTTTTCATGAATTGCAAACTGGCAGCACTATCTCAGGCCAAATGCTGTATTGTTTTGTTTGCTAACATGGTTTTTAAAATCTTAAGTTCGATCTCTACCTGCTTGACCCTTGCTTTACATAAGAGAAGAGTGAGAGGCTGGAGTATGTTATTGCTGCCTTTAATTGTGTTAACTTCATGTGTTCTTGTGAGAATTTCCCGTGTTCTTTTACATTTTCAGCACCTCTTGGACAAAATTAACGAATATGTGGGCAAAGCCACCACTCGGTTATCCATCCTCTCATTACTGGGGCATGTCATAAGACTGCAGCCATCTTGGAAGCATAAGCTCTCTCAAGCACCTCTTTTGCCTTCTTTACTAAAATGTCTCAAGGTAGGATGTTTGTAAGGATTTGAATGAAATGGCTTTGGAGTATAGTTTCTGAAACTTTGAGTAACTTAAAACAAGTAAGCTAGATTTTAACTTTCAGAGTTTAAAAACTTATAGGCATTTAGTTTTGTTTTTTTGAGTTGGCGTCTCACTCTGTTGCCCAGGCTGGAATGCAGTGGCACGCTCATGACCACCACAGCCTCAACCTGCTGGGCTTGGGTGATCCTTCTGCTTCAGCCTTCCAACTAGCTGGAACTACAGGCATGCACCACCACACCCGGCTAGTTTTTTGACTTATTGTAGACCAGGCTGGTCTTGAACACCTGGACTCAGGCAATCCTCTCACCTTGGCCTCCCAAAGTGCTGGGATTATAGGTGTGAGCCCCCGTGCCCAACCAGCGTTTAGTTTTTGTCAAATGTAATGTAGCCCAGAGTTGGTACTTAATAAGTTCTCAAATACACCACTAGTACTGTTGAATATTTTGTCCAAGCAAATATGGTAAAATTTCAGTTAGATGCATCCAGTGTTATATTATTGGATTTCATCATTGTTTAGCCTTCCCTCAGTTAACAATATGCTGGATTCTCTTTTGGGAATCCTTGTTTCTAAATTCTCTTTTAGCTAATAGAAAATGGTTTAAAGTTGTAACCATTTAGGAATATGTTCTGCTTGCAGCTATAATTACGATTTTGTTGGTGTAAGTCCTACTGATTTGCATTCTACTATTTTTTGCACTAAATTTAGTGCATTTTTTGACATGGAGTCAAAATGTAAATTGAACTTTTATGGTTTTAGTTTTATCAGTGGCTTGCTGCAATGCTCAGGCTATTTGCTTAATCTGTTTTAGTTCCTGGACTTATTTCCTATCTATAAAATGAGAAAATGTGGTTAATATTAACTGCCTATACCGCGCAGAGACATGAAAATAGCCAGTAGTATTTGTTGCAGGATGGAAGTACTGTGGGATTCATCTGATAGAGCACCATGCAAATTGATTTTCGTGTCTGCCAAGAAGGGTGACTGTTTTATTATCCCTAGAGTGGGTCCCAAGAAGCCACACTGGTAGAGTATTGTAACACATGCATTTAATGTTAAGAAAAAACAGGAACAATGTTAACAACTTAATATTTTTTAAGCAAGTGAATTGGTAAGAATATAATCCAATTTTTAGGTACAATATTTAGTTGAGATTGCAAAAACACTTATTTTTTCCAATAGGGCAAGCTTTGAATATTAATCATTAATCATTAATCTAATCTTCAGTTAGACTGTTATGATAAATGAAATTAGGGCTAGTTCTTTTTGGTGAGAATCATTGTGTATTCTCACTATGTTCTCATATATTCTTAATTCTCCTACCATATATTTTTCTTACTAAATATCTGCCATAACAAAGGCTTGGTGCTTAATGTAAAAATTAAATATATTTAAAACTTTATTTCCAGACTCGAGGATTCCTTTTCTTTTTTTTTTTTTTTTTTTTTTTTTGAGTTAAAGTCTCACTGTCGCCCAGACTGGAGTACAATGGCCGCTCCCGGCCACCGCAGCCTCGACCTACTGGGCTCCGGCGATCCTTTCGCCTCAGCCTTCCAAGTAGCTGGAACTACAGGCACACGCTACCACGCCTGGCTGATTTTTTTGGTTTATTGTAGAGATGAGGTCTCACCTGCCCAGGTGGGTCTCGAACCCGCGGGCTCAGGCAATCCACTCACCTCAGCCTCCCAAAGGCATGGGATTACAGGCTGAGCCACCGAGCCCGGCACTAGGATTCCTTTTCTAACAGGAATGATGGATATCTTAGTCTGCATGATAATCTTTTGACTGATATCTTGTTTTGTAAATCCAAGTTTCAGCTACTTGGCACATATCCATACTTTAATTACAGGTCAGGTGAACTGCTATAGCTAGTCAGGGTTGATTCATTATCCATTGGATGTTAAATGTCCTCAATTAGCCTAAAGTTATTTGACTTGATATTTAAACTATAGACATGGTCAGAGGTTTCTGTATTTTTAAAAATTTACTGATCTCTAAATACTGCTGTGAAGAGAGCCATTAAGTTGACTTGTTGGTGCTATACTAATTTCTTCTTCGATTATACTTCTGTTGTAGTCCTTTTAAAATAGTGTTACTTGTCAATGTATAGTAGAGTGCAGTGTATAGTAGATATATAGTAGAGTGCAGTGGCATGCTCACGTCTATTGCAGTCTCAGTCTGCTGGGGTCAGGTGATCCTTCTACCCTAGCCTTCCATATAGGTGGAACTACAGGCATATACCATCACACCCGGCTAATTTTTTTATTTATTGTAGAGATGAGATCTCACCAAGTTGCCCAGGCTAGTCTCAAACCTCTGGGCTCAGGAAATCCTTTCATCTCTGGCTCCCAAGATACTAGCATTACAGGCATGAGCCTCTGCGCCCAGTTGTTAATTGACTTAACACAAAGTAAATACCTTAGGATTTGGTTGAATGAATGAAAACAGAGCAGCATTCCTGCGTTCTGTCAAAAAGCTATTTCTTGTGCTTTCATCCAAGTGCTGTAAATAGGGCATCCTAAGGCTTCAGGACTGGGTCCCCAAGTCAGTTTAAACTCACTATCTGATGCACCTGTGTAGTGTAAGTGTATCATAAATGGTCCTCACAGACTCATTACAGTAGAGCTGGATCTCAGTGGTTTTCCTGGTGAGTCATTTTAATGTCTCCTCATTAGGGGCAGGGAAATGAGGATGTACATGAACTTCTTATTTGTGATTCCCTTAGTATTTAGACCCTCTTCACATATTGTGCAGTTCTGATCCTGGTGCTGTATCTGACAAGTGTTTCTTGTGTGACGTTTCCTCCTGCAGATGGACACTGATGTCGTGGTCCTCACTACAGGTGTCTTGGTGTTGATAACTATGCTACCAATGATTCCACAGTCTGGGAAGCAGCACCTCCTTGATTTCTTTGACATTTTTGGCCGCCTTTCATCATGGTGCCTGAAGAAACCAGGTACAGATCTCCTTATATGTTGTATGACACTACAAGATAAATGTTTTCATTGTTGATTAACTGCCCATATACTGGAAGGGATGCGCATATAGAACTTTATAGCTGAAATGAGTGATTTTCACTAGATAGATGAGGAAATCCCTTGGGTGCGTCCACTATAGGCACATATAAGAAGCATGACTATTGAGATGCCCTCCTTGTTCTTTTCACTTAAAACGATTAGTTGTCAGAGAAATGGAGTGGTAGGATGTAAAACTTCCTGCTTTTTAGTAAACTGCAAAACAACCTTCATCTATCTTGTAGCACTACAGGACTATGCTTGTAGAACCTTTTTTTCTTCCTCTGCTGCTCTGTTGTGACACAAATGTCGGGTTCTAAGAATCTGTACTTTGTATCTGTCGAGGGAGGAGGGAAATGCAGCATGTCCTGATTAGCGTTCCAGTTTCAAAAGCAGTGGGATTTTTTTTTTCATACCGGCAGGTAGCATGGCTCTATCAGAGTGATTCTGAAGCTATAAGCATGTGAAATTCAGATTCTTTGAGTAATCCCAGCATGAGCTATTCCTTTCAAAAGGATGAATATGTCAGGCTTGTGAGACAGAGTGCCGTGGCTTCCTGCATAGGACTAAATCCCAAGCACAGGCTCATGTAGGGGCCAGCTTGTTTGGTGGGATCTCCTTTGGGAGAAGGGAATTGTCTGTCCCTATTGTGGAGGACCTTTCCATGGACAGAGGTTTCCACAGAATCTAGGTCAGGCTAAACTCACTGGGTTTTCAATTTCTCCCACTCTTAGCTCTTGAAGCTAATTTCTGGATAATAGTTTTTTTCATTCTATAGTTATAAGTCTGCAAAACTAGGGCTATATACTGATTTTAAAAGATTCTGAACTGTTCATTCCACAAATGTATGCTTGTTATACACCTGGTCCAGTGCAAAGCACTGATGATCTGAGGTAAGACAGTCCTTTACTCAAGAAACTCACACTGAATTCGACAATGGAGAAGTATAAATTTTAGGGAGGACAACCATTATTAAAGACAGTTCAATATCGCGAGATTGTCTGGGGTCCTTTCTGAGGGGAGGCTGGAGAGGATGGCAGAGGTGAGATCAGGAAGAGCCTTCATATATCACAATCAGTGGACTGGAGTTTATCCAAAGGCTATAGGTAGCCACCGTTAGATTTGAAATAGGGGTGTCTGCTGTGTTCAGATTTGCAGTTTGGAATACCACTCTGACTTCCTGTCTTTGGACTGGGTTGGGAGTATACGTAAGGGATAAGTCATGCTGGCAGCCATGTATTCATGTCTATTTGCACACCTCAGTCTTGTGTCCCACTAAGAGGCTCCTCAATGGGCTCCTTTTGTAGGCCACGTGGCAGAAGTGTATCTCGTCCATCTCCATGCCAGTGTGTATGCGCTCTTCCATCGCCTTTATGGAATGTACCCTTGCAACTTCGTCTCCTTTCTGCGTTCTCACTATAGCATGAAAGAAAACCTGGAGACTTTTGAAGAAGTGGTCAAGGTAAATTAAAACCACTCACTTATTTGATATTTAGATGGCTGCACTTACATTTTTTTGTATTAAATGGTCGGCTGGGAAATTTTGGAAAGAAATTCAGCATTCCCCAAGCCCTCTCCGCCCCTCCCCCATGCCATCTCTAGGCATCCACTTTCTCTCTTTATAGATTTGCCTATTCTGGACATTTTATATAAGTGGGATCATATAACATGTTGTCTTTATGAGTGGTTTCTTTCACTCAGTGTAATATTTCAAGGTTTATTCATGTTGTAACATGTCAGTACTTCATTTCTTTTTATTGTCAAATAGTCCATCGTTTGGGTATACCACAAAGATTCAGCCCTTTCTAATTTGTCAACCCAAACTCTTCTAGCCAATGATGGAGCATGTGCGAATTCATCCGGAATTAGTGACTGGATCAAAGGACCACGAACTGGACCCTCGAAGGTAAAGAAACGAAACTATCTAGTGATAGAATTTTCAAGAATCTCTTGAGAAACTGAAAATGTGATCTAGGAGATACCCCTGTTGGGGTCTTATTTGGGAATATGGGTTTTTTTACTTACAGAAGCATTCCACTTGGATGAACTTACTGTACTGCTAAAATTTGTATGAGCCTGAAATTTGGCAGAGTGGAGGAAGTTGTCGCACAGGTGTGGGTCCTCCAGATAGCCTCACACCTCCGTGGTGCCAGTGATTGTTCGAGGAAGGAAGTGAAATGTGTGACTGAAAACAAGTGGATTCTAGAAAATGTGTGAGTGGGTGCGGTGGCTCATGCCTATAGTCTTAGCACTTTGGGAGGCGAGAGGTGAGAGGATTGACTGAGCCCATGGGTTCGAGACCAGCTTGGGCAACTTGGCGAGACCTTATCTCTACAATAAATCAAAAAATTAGCTGGGCATGGTGGCACATTCCTGTAGTTCCAGCTACTCGGAAGGCTGAGGCAGAAGGATTGCCTGAGCCCAGCAGGTCAAGGCTGCGGTGGCTGTGAGCATGCCACTGCACTTCAGCCTGGCGGCAGAGTGAGACTCCAACTCAAAAAAATATATATATATATAGATGGAGTGGTGGGACTCCCTAAGGCCCTTTCTCCATCCTCTGTAGCCAGGTGACTTCCAGCCTCTGTGGGGCCCTGCAGAAGTTCTCAGGTTGGTTCGCTGGAGAAGCTGAACCATGAAGCTCCTAATGTGAGGATTCTAGGCATGAAGGAGATTGGGACTGAGGGTGAAACTGAAGGAGGAAGTAGAAGAAATTTACAGACTGAGCTGTGGGAGGCTCGGCTCCTTCCTTCTACTTTTCTCTGGTTGGCAGCCAGGCTTGCACTTTCCAGTTAGGGGATTGAACCTTTTTTGGGGACACTGACCCACAGATATTGATATATGGGGATCTCCCACTGAAAAAGTTGACTCATTTCCTGATGCTCCTACAGAAAGCCTCACCTCTCCATAATCCCTACCTCTGCCACACAGAGTCCAGGCATATATTATATTTGGAGAAGTATTTTAAAATGTGCATGTACAGTTTAATAATAATACACAAACATGTGTAGCCAGCATCCAGTTTAAAAAATAGAATATTACCAGTACCTTAGAAGCCCTCTGTGGGACCGACCCTCTTTCTCCCTATTTTCTGTCCTATTTCAGAGACAGCTTATCATTCTTACTTTTGTATTAATCATTCTCTAGTTTTTAAAAAATTGTTTTACCACAAGTATTTTGTTTTGAAAAGCCAGTTGATTAGGAAGCAAAGCCTAGCTAAGGGAAAGGCAGTCTTGTCAGTTAGATGAACATTTCCTGGAGACGAGTAGAAGAACAGAGTATCTGAGTCTTGGTCAAGACAAGCTAAGTTCACCTTCCTTGAGACTTTATAGCCCCTTCTGGGAATTCAGTGTATGAGGTCACAAGTGAGCTGGGAAATGTAAGGCTTACTCTCATCAGAGCATCTGGCAAGGCTCTTAGCAAGGGCTGGGTACTGGATGTGCTGCCGAAATATGGCAGAGGGAGGAGGCTGTTCTGAGTTGGCTACTTCCAGCTCTCAGGAATAGGTCAGGGCCACATCCTTCTGTGGGATCAAATCAGTGTTCTCAGCTGATCTGGCAAAGAAACATGAGTGGGAACTTCATCAGTATGTAGTTGAGACAAGCTAAGTACAGACAGGAGTCACCTTGGTTATGAAGATGGTACAGGGCAGGAACCTTCAGGATGGCTGGCAACTTGCCTATCTTAGCAGTTGTGTTCTGACCGGAACTGGTTGTCACTTGTGCCTGGCACCCAACTGTCACCCTGCTCTCTTGGGCTTCCCTTCACCTCCCCCCTGTGTAAGATCTCTTACTTCTGTAGCTCATGTCTTCTTTCTTTGATTACTCTTGTCTTGATGAAACATGTCCTCTGATATTCTGAGGAAGGATGCAGTTGTTTGGCTGGGTGTAGACTTCTAGGTTGGGATCAGTCTCATTCAGTAATTTGAAGGCATTATTCCATTATCACCTTGCTTCCAGTGTTGCTGTTGAAATCCAAAGACATTCTGACTTTTGATCATGTGTATTTGCTATATTTTTCTTTATGGGAGCTGGTAGAGTGTTCTGTTTGTTGTCATGCTTTTCTGAAATTTCCTAGTGATGTTCCTTGTGTGAGTCTATTCTCATTGTTCATTCTAGCAGCTCTTTAAGTTCTACAAAATTTTCTTTATTTTGTGCTTGATTTCCTTTCCTCTTTCATATTTGTCTTTCCTTCTAGAAATCCTAGTATAATCATATATTGACAATGTTTTAGTCCATGATTGACTGAATAGATGATGGTGGTCCCATAAGATTACAATACTTCCAGCCTGGGCAACTTGGTGAGACTTCATCCCTACAATAAAAAAAAAAATTAGCCAGGCATGGTGGCACATGCCTGTAGTTCCAGCTACTTGGAAGGCTAAGGTAGAAGGATCGCCTGAGCCCAGTAGGTCGAGGCTGCAGTGGCCGTCAGCATGCTACTGCACTCCAGCCTGGGTGACACAGTGATACTCCAACTCAAAAAAAAAAAAAAAAAAAGATTATAGCACTGTATTTTTACTGTACCTTTTCTATGTTTAGATACACAAATACTTTCCATTTTGTTACAGTTGCCTACAACAGGTTTGTAGCCCAGGAGCAATAGACTATATGATATAGCCTAGGTGTGTAGTAGGCTGGACCATATAACCTAGGAGTCTACTAGGCTGTACCATCTACTTTGTGTAAGTACACTCTATGATGTTTGCACAGTGATGAAATTGCCTAATGACTCAGTTTTCAAAAGGTATCCCTGTCATTAAGCAACACATAACTGAATATATACATATGGGGAGAGAGTTTTCTTTTGCCTTTGTAATTTGTTATTTCTGAGCTGCTTTCTTTTCTATTTTCTGTTCTTTTTACATCTTTGAGGCTTCGGAAAGCATCTGATAATCTGTTTATGTTTGGATAGGGAGACTAAAAAGCTTTGTTCACAGGGGCGGGACTTGTTCTGAGCATTTGTTGGAGATACTGATGCCGGTATTATTTTCTTCTTGAGCTGATCACATTTTTTAGAAAAGAATCTTTTGATCTACAGGCTAGTAAAGGTCTCACTGCTGCTGAGGGGAAGGAAGGGCGTGGTAACGAGAGGTTGGCGGTCTTGGCATTCAGAGCATATATGCTCACTTAGCCCCTTTGTTTGGAATGCTCCTAACTATTTCTAGAATACCTCATTCAGACCTCATTTTTTAACTTTCTAGAGAACCATCCAGATTTCTGGAGAGAAAAGAGCTATCATCTGGGAGTGTAGAGTTGGGGAAGGGTCCAGGGGCTCTAACTGCTCCTCTAGCAGTTTTTATCCTGTCTTCCATATTTTAGCTGCCCTCATCTGCCTGCCGCTCACCCCCAGTTCCAGAAGTATCTGATGCTATAAATTCTTCAGCATCGTAAGGATTCTGCAGTATAATCAGGTTGGAAATTGCTTTGAAACAGTGGCAGTGTAGGATTCCACTTTCTTGGATTGCTGTCAGTTACCACCTGCCTGTGGGCTTTCTGGTTTCAAAAACTGGTGCTATTCTCTCTTCACCTGTTCTTCTTCTCTTTGTGGGCTTATATATAAAAACAAACAGGCATGTCATTACTGTAGACAGTGGGATTTTTGGAGGTTGTACAATTGGGTCTATGTATTCAACCAACTATGTTAAATGGGAAACCTCCTCATTTACAGAACCTCACTCACCTTGGCGTTTCACAAAAGGAGATCAACTGTTCTTTGAAGAAAGTTTTACCTTGAGAGACAGAGACTAACATAAGAAGGAAAAAAAGAAGCTAGAAAGAAACTGATGATAGAGTAGAGGAAAGTATCCACAGGAGCTACAGCGATAAGGCATTTGTGCATGCATCAAGGTCAGGGTGCCACGGAAAAGGAACATTTGAGACTAAAGAAAGAACTCTTAAGTTGAAATTCAGAGCCAAAATACACATTTCAATAAAAGAATTAGAAGATAAAGTTGAGAACATCTCAGAAAGCAGAAGCAAAGGATAAGGATGGGGAGTATGAGAAGAGTAGAAAAGTCCAGGAGGTCCAACATCCAATAAAAAAGAAGGTTTAAGAAGACAGTAGAGGCTAGACATGGTGGCTCACGCCTATAATCCCAGTACTTTGGGAGGCTGAGATGAGAGGATTGCCTGAACTCATGGGATCGAATCCAGCCTGGGCAACTTGACGGAGACCTCATCTCCACAATAAATCAAAAAATTAGCCAGGCGTGGTGGCACGTGCCTGTAGTTCCAGCTACTTGGATGACTGAAACATAAGGATCGCCTGAGCCTAGCAGGTTGATGTGGTGGCCATGTGCATGCCACTGCATTCCAGCCTATGGGACAGAGTGAGACTCTAACTCAAAAAAATAAATAAGTAAATAAATTTTTAAAAACACTTAATAAGAGTCAGAAAAAAAGAAAAAAATAGCTGGGCTTGGTGGTGGTCACCTGTAGTCCCAGTTGCTTGGGAAGCTGAGGCAGGAAGATCCCTTGAACCCCAGAGTTTGAGGTTATGGTGAGTTATGATCACACTACTGCATTCCAACCTGGGCAACAAAGTGAGACATTGTCTCTTTAAAAAATGAAAGAAACAAAGAAGAAATAAGGATGTTGTTAGCATCTGAAACACCTCAAAATTGAGAGAAAGGTTTGTAACTTTGAATTCTATACCCAGCTGAATTGCCTGTCAAGTATGAGACACTTTTAGGTATGCAAGGACTCAAATTTCCCTCCTGTATATCCTTTCTCAACTAACTACTTAGGCATGTGTCCACCAATATGAGAGTAAAATCAAGAAGGAGGAAGACAGTTCAGGAGACTGGGCCCCGACTTACGATCATGGTAGAAGAAAGTGTTAGAACGAGTGCTGCACAGCAGTGCTGAGAACAACTGGTTCCGAGTGATGTAGGAGGGAAAGCACTTTGAAAGGGAGCTCTTTAGGGAGAGAAGGAGGTTACATGTATCCTAGCAGATTCTTTGCATTTCTTTATGTAGAAGTTATATTGGGCGTTGTTTCAGAGCTGTTAGAATAAGTTTAGGAAGAATTAGCAATAGATACACAGAAGATAGAGGAAAAGAAACAGAAAAATGAAAACTGCAGTGTAAACTAAGGCAAACTAAATTGAACAAGAAAGGAAATATTATCATAGTTTACTCTTTGGCTCAGTTGTGAGTAGTATTTACGTAGTCATAATAATAATTATTGAAATCGATGTTGGAAAAAAACAAAACAATGATATTGTTATTTTGAGAGCATTAGGGAAGAGAGAAAAGATATATGTAAGTGACCTCGACCTCACCTTTCATAATAGTAAGTTTATTGATGATGTCTACAGTTTATAAATCCAGAACCTGAAAGCTTAGTGTAATACTTTAGAAATATAGAAGTAGGATCATCATTCAGCTAACAGAATTGGAAGCAGCTGCTAGAGTGGCTACAGGGGAGAGGGATGGGAGGTACCCTTTAGTACTATATTGACTTTTCAACTACCGTATTTCATTGAATCTAGGATAGCATTGAATATGTGATGCACTTATATTTTATGTACATCTGAGAAAGAAAAAAATGCCAAATAAACCAGCACACAATTGATTAGACTGAAGTTCCCAGTTTTAGAGCTATTAAAATATGAAAAGTTCATTTAAGAATCAAGGAAATCCTGTAAGTGCATATATTACTTTGATTAAAACATTTAAATGTATTCTGATTTTATTATGATTCTCATTTTCTTCCCTAAACTCAATCTTCTTTGTGTACACATGCATCCTGACTCTTGCTCTCACTTAATCACTTTCCAGTCATGCTGAGAATGTGTAATGAGGAGTCTGCCCTATAACACATATCCCACAGACAGTGAGGACCCGGGCAGTGATCAAAGGTGCAACCCTGAAATTGAACGTCTTGCCCCTTGGGGAAGCCTTCTATTGTCCCCATGCCCTGGACACCTTCATTTCCGTATTTAATACCACATTTTCAGCATGTAAGATGTGTACAAAAATGGTGTAGGATCACGTGTTGTTAGGATAAGCTTATGGAGTGCTTTTAGTGTTGCTGTACTGTGCTTTGTAAACCTTAGAACAGAGGCTGTGAGTCTCTGGAGTTACTAACCACTTAGAAGCACATAGATCTCTTTGGGAGGGCGAGGCTGGAGGATTGCTTGAGCTTAGGAGTTTGAGACCAGTTTGAGCAACATGGCGAGACATTGTCTCTACAAAAATAAAAAAAATTAATCAGGTGTGGTGCCTAGTCTTTTGTTGATACATTTTTTGTTGCAAATTGGTTTATGTTAGCTTGTTATAACCATTGTAAGAAGATAAGGTATAGGTTTGTGAAAATGAATGGCTAATTGTTTATATTCTAGTACTGTTTCTTACTTGAGCTGACATGCATCTCCCTTGTTCTTTGCTGTCATAATTTCTGTGGCTGGCACTGAGCTGGCACTCTTAAGTATTTAACTGACTTGATGGGATGGATTACCATTTGCATTTTTTGACTTTTGTTTCCTTTTCTAGGTGGAAGAGATTAGAAACTCATGACGTTGTAATAGAGTGTGCCAAAATCTCTCTGGACCCTACAGAAGCCTCATATGAAGATGGCTATTCTGTGTCTCACCAAATCTCAGCCCGCTTTCCTCATCGTTCCACTGATGTCACCGCCAGCCCTTATGTTGACACACAGAATAGCTATGGTAAAAAGTGACTTTGGTACTTATCTGTTTTACAACTTTGTCTCTGGAAAGCATTGTTTATCTTTGTTGGCTTTCTTTTCTTAGAGTAAGACTTAGTTCATTTCCTAAGAACTTTTCTCTAAATAGTTTAAATTTTAATTTGCCTCCATTTTCTTATAATTAATTTATCCTTCAAGTTTAATTTAAATGTCCTTGATCAGTCCTACCTGATAGTATGCAACAGACTTGGTGATATGTCTTCAACACTTAACAATGAAAATAGAATCAGGTTCACTTCTAGGGCCCACCTTATAAGGGAATCTTTCTATTTTCCAGATATTTGGAGTGAGGTCCTCTGAGCTGTAGCTCTGATACAGTTTGAATGAGTCTGGGCAGTTTGGAATTGGATTAATTTAAAACTCTAGGCTTCCTCTGTGGATCACGTACCCACTGAAGCTGTCATCCATATTTTACCTTTTCAAGTTATCCTGGGGCTTAACTAAACAACAACTCTTACTGAACTTTATTTCCAAAGAGCACTTAACAAGACTTTTAAATGTTACTACTTTGTGCCCAAGGATGTCAGAAATGTTTTAAATATAGGGAATTGAGGCTTACTGAATGGGATAGAAAACCATTTTTTATCAGAACATTCTAAAGTCACAGACTAACCCCCTGTGTTCTTCCCTTTTGTCTTAGGGAATGCTACTTCTACCCCTTACTCTACTCGGCTGACGTTGTTAAACATGCCAGGGCAGCTACCTCAGTCTCTGAGTTCCCCGTCGACACGGCTGATATCTGAGCCCCCACAAGTATGGAGTCAAGTAGTGTATCTGTCCTCTCCTCTGCTATCTGGTGACTGTTTGGGTCAGGAATTAGTATATGGTTGGGAAAACATCACACTGCTCATTTCAGGAGTCACTTTTAAGGATCCATATTAGCAGAGAAAATTACTGTTTGCCTCTTGGATCCATCTTGAAGTCTTGACTTACAGAATGCAACTTGTCTCTTGATAAAGCTTTAATAAGATGCCCTTTTCTAGTTGAAAAGGATAAATGTAATCTGAATGTTGGTTGTGGATATAAACTTTGCAGATGACTCCAGGTTCATTTGCTATTGTTGATGGGCTTTGTTAACTTCCCAGGCTACTGTTTGGAGCCCATCTATGGTTTGTGGTATGACCACTCCTCCAACTTCTCCTGGAAATGTCCCACCTGATTTGTCACACCCTTACAGTAAAGTCTTTGGTACAACTGGTATGTATGTTTTAGGTTGGATTTGATTGGTTGGTTTTGGCATGTCTTTTATGATAGAAGGAGCTGTTTCTTAGATTAATAGTGGGTTTGGGGGCCACTTGCAGTTGTAAACCTGTTTTTAACACTTAACGTAAACTTCTGGGGCTTTCAAAATGTGTAAAGTAAACCTAAAAGAAAAAGAGAGATTTAGATTCCTAGGAAATTAACTCTAGTAGCTTTATGCATAGTAATAGGCTGGAAAAAAAATCAGCAGTTTTTCTCATCGTTAAGTTCAATGTTCATTTATGTTCTGCCCTTTGTCTCTGAGCAGGTGGAAAAGGAACTCCTTTGGGAACCCCGGCAACCTCTCCTCCTCCAGCCCCACTCTGCCATTCGGATGACTATGTGCACAATTCACTCCCCCAGGCCACAGTTACGCCCCCCAGGAAGGTGTGTACCAGCATGCCTGCAGTCCCTTTGCCCAGGCACTCGTTTGCAGGCCTTACTTTGTGAAGCTTGATTGGGACAGATAGAATTCTGACCCAAAAAGCAGTGGGTTTAAATCAGAATAAATGAAAGTAGACTAACTAGCACCTCTCAAGGTGTGATCTGCTGCTTCCTGGGGTCCCAAAACCCTTTTATGGAATCCAGCAGGATCAAACCTACTTTTATAGTAACGCTAAGCTATTTTTTGCCCTTTCCACTGTGCTGGCAACTGCACTGATGACCCAAAGACAATCAGGAGCCGGGGGGGGGGGGGTGATGGCAACTTAGTGTGAATCAAGGCACACACCGAGCTATCCTAATAGGCCTTGGCTTGTTCCTTCACATGCTCCTTCAGTTACAATAAATCTATATTAAGCAGTAAAAATTATCAATTTTAATCAGTCTTGGCCCCTGAGAACACATGTTTAATATTCTTTGTGACAAAATAGGAAATATGCATGAAGCATGTTTGCTACATATCAGAGTATGATGATGATCTCAGGTACTTTTGTGATTATTTGAATTGAGAGCAGAATTAGCTCCTTTTTTTCATGGAGCACCAGTTTTATTTGAAAGAACAAGTGACTTACAAGCTGGTTATTCAGACTTGAATATTTTGCAAGCAGTTTCTCAAATGATGAACCAAGTCTGTCACTTTAAGATAAACAACTAACGGTATTTGTTGCCAATGATAAAATTCAACTTTCAGGTGAAAATTAGGATATTAAAAAACTTGTATCTAACACGAACTTGATAGTTTCTCCAAGACTTTTGTGTCATTGAAAAGTCTTGAGAAGCTTGGTTAATAATTTGATTTTTTGATGTTGTATAATGAAGTGTTTCAACATTTGGAAGATCCAAATAACCTGGTGAGCAAATGTTTTCTAAATATCCAATGTATGATGTTACAGAATCCTGCATAGGTAAAAAGTGCATTCAGAGTACAAGGATTTTAACACAGTGTGAAAGTTAATTGGTGTGGTTTCACATCCCACTTTGTAACTAGCTTTCGAGAAGCCACCACTTGTCAAGTTTTGATGTAATATCAAAGCTGATTACCCACAGAAAGTCTATTAACATATATTTACTTTTTGCAATTACATATCTGTGGGGCTCCAGATTTTTCTTCTATATTTCAGCCAAAATAAAATTTTTTACCAGATTGAATGTGGAGGCAGATATGAGAATCTTGCTACCTTTCATTAAACCCCATGTTAAAGAGATTGCAAAAATGTATAACAGTTCAACTTTTCTCATTAAATGTATTTTTGTTTTTGAAAATATATTTATTTTTCATAAAATATATATAATTTACATAAGCATTCAGTGGATTTGTTATTTTTAAGGGAATTAAATATTGTCAAAGTTTCTTGGTTTTAATTTTAATACATTGATGATCAATAGATGTAATCACACCAACAAAAGCTCTTGGGGTTCTCAAATCATTTTTAAGACTTTGAAGAAGGCATCCTGAGACCAAGCAGTTTGAGAATCACTGGGCTGACCTTTAAACTCCTTTACAGTATGCTAGCGAACATGTACACGATTTTTGCCTTGTGATATGAATGAAACTTATCTTTTCAGGAAGAGAGAACAGATTCTGCAAGGCCATGTCTACATAGACAACATCATCTTGCGAATGACAGAGGATTAGGTAAAATCTCTGGATCATGATAAGCCTTGCTTGTCTCTTCTAATTGGGTTATATGTGTTTAAAATCAAAGTTATATGGAAACGAGGTTCTAGAATACCACAAAACACTGAAGCCTAGAGATAATGAAAAAAGTCTTTTTTTTTTTCTTTTTGAGTCAGAGTCTCACTCCATTGCCCAGGTTGGAGTATAGTGGCACACTCATGGCCACCCCAGCGTAGATCTGCTGGGCTCTGGCGATCCTTCCATCTCAACCTTCCAAGTAGATGGAACTACAGGCTCACACTACCACGCCCGGCTAATTTTTTGATTTATTGTAGAGATGAGGTCTCACCAAGTTGCCCAGGCAGTCTTGAACCCACGGACTCAGGCAATCCACTCACTTCAGCCTCCCAAGGCACAGGATTACAGACTGAGCCATCAAGCCTGACCTTCTTGGAGATATTAAGGACTGGGGATTTTATTTCCTATGGGATTATTTTTGGTACCTTTAATTATATTATCTGTAACATCTTGGCCTTTTGTAGTAACCCCAGGAAAGAGCCATTTTCAGCCTTCTCTGTTGAGCAGAAAGAATTATTATAGACATGTCCTATTACAATGTAAGCAATTTTATACTTGTAGGGATTACAGTGTATTTCTTTGACTTTAGTTTTATTTGTTTCTCTTTAGAAGAGCTATCAGGCAGCAAAGGTGCTGTCACTCTAAGTGATCTTCCAGGGTTTTTAGGTGATTTGGCCTCTGAAGAAGATAGTATTGAAAAAGATAAAGAAGAAGGTAACGTATGTGGGATTGCTGTGGGATGATAAAACTTGACCCTCATTCTGCTGTAAAATTGGAATTTAGTGTCAATGCTCATAAACTTGCTTGGTTTTTCTTCCCTTGGGGGAATAATATGAGTATCTTAGTCTAGAACCTGTGCCAGGTAAAGAGATACCACTTTTATCCCCCCTCTGTTTGGTCCTGGTACATGGCAGCATGCAACCCCAAACTGCCTGGCCTTTCCCAGGTTGAATATTTACTCAGTGTTCTCTTCTTTCCCTTCCTCCTCTCAGCTGCAATATCTAAAGAACTTTCTGAGATCACTACAGCAGAGGCCGAGCCCATGGTTCCTCGAGGAGGTTTTGACTCTCCCTTCTACCGAGATAGTCTCCCAGGCTCTCAGCGGAAGACCCATTCAGCAGCCTCCAGTGCTCAGGGTGCCTGCGTGAACCCTGAGCCTCTGCACTCCTCCCTGGACAAGCTTGGGCCTGACACACCAAAGCAAGCCTTTACTCCCATAGACCTCCCTTGTGGCGGTGCTGATGAAAGCCCTGCTGGAGACAGGGAACGCCAGACTTCCTTGGAGACCAGTATCCTCACTCCTAGCCCTTGTAAAATTCCACCTCAGCGGGCAGTGGGCTTTGGGAGCGGGCAGCTTCCCCCGTACGATCATCTTTTTGAGGTGGCCTTGCCAAAGACAGCCCATCATTTTATCAGCAAGAAGACTGAGGAACTGTTAAGGAAAGCAAAAGGAAATGCCGAGGAAGATTTCATGCCCTCTACCTCCCCCTTGGAAGTACTGGACAGGCTGATACAGCAGGGAGCAGATGCACACAGCAAGGAGCTGAACAAGTAAGGGGCTCTGGCTCTTTGTGTTTAAACATTCCTTTGTATCCTAAATTACAGAAAGCGCCAGGGTGGGAACAAGAAACACCCAGAGACAGCTGGTTCTCTACTGTTTTGTCAGGCATCCTAGTCTGTTGCCTTTTCATATACATGACCATTATATATGCACATTAAATTGGATAGTTCTGTACATAGCAGGTCATTTCAGAATTAAGTCTTTTTTGTATCGTGATCTTGCTGCAGATAAGGCCGTTTTGTGTCACTGTTCCATGAGAACACTAAAGTGCTTTTACTTTTGCTCTCTGAAATTTGTAGGCTAAAAATGAAGTTGTGGTACTTTAGAGAATATAAGAATTTTTGTCACAGGATTTTCCTCTCTAGTTACAGGTGATTACTTTTAATTTTGGTATCAGGTGCCTCGTTAGCGCAGTAGGTAGCACTCAGTCTCATAATTTTGGTATCATAGTTTATTTGGTAGAAGATAAAATCAGCATTTTATAGAGGTTCATGTGACCTGATCCAACCCCTAATCCCAAGATGTATAAGGTTTCCTAGAAAGAAGTCTGTCTTGAGACACTGTTTTCAATCCTTTTTAAATTATCCTTTTCAAAGGATGTCCAGAGAAGGAATAAAGGAAGTAATTAGTCCAGAGCTTGAATTATATGCCATTTTAAAATAGATGCTTGGGGAATGTTAATTTTTATTTTTCTTCTATATAATATCTTAAGGTAGAATTTGACAGGAATTTTTTTTTAAATGAGATTTGGTATGATAGAGTCAGGTAAATTACCTACTTTTTCCTTAAACTTGGGTGATAGTAGCTTCTCAACAGAGAGCTAGCTATTGCTTGTATATTTCAACAGAGAGGATTGAAAACAGCTCTTGGCGTGTCTGACTACTCAGTTTCTTTGGAGAGTTGACCCAGAAACAGAGGCCTCAGTGTGCACAGTGGGAGCTCAGCATGAGGGCTTCTCCACTGGAGACTTGTATGTAGCAGGGCCTCCTGCCGGTTCCACCCACTGTGAGGCTTTTCCAACTCCATGTGGACTTGGAGTTTGAAACGTTCTTATGCCATTGCGAATTTTGATTACAAGGAAGTGATCTAACCTTACTGCAAATAAAGACCAGATAAGTTTTTTTCTAAGTAAGATCAATAACTTTGTTACTCAAAAACTTTCTTCCTAGGTTGTCTTTACCCAGCAAGTCTGTCGACTGGACCCATTTTGGAGGTAAAGTTGTTACTTTAGCTCCAATCCAGCCCATATGGTTCCTGCTTGCTTGTTTCCTTTTGTGTCCTTGAAGGCGGTGCCCTGTAGGAAACAGACCTGCCCTTGGCTACTGCCCTAGCCAGCTTATCTGCTTGACTAAAGGATCTCAAGTGTTGTTGAGTCAGCATTTCTTGTTTCTGAAAAGTGGCAAGTACCATGAGCTTGAGAAAAGTGCAAAAAGTGTAGACTTCACACCAGGCATTTCTAGAAAAGACCCAGGTGAAGAGAGGGATGAAGGGGCGTCTTCCTGGGGGACAACACACAAGTGAGCAGGGGCCTTGAGAGATAGAAAGAGCATCTGAAAGTGATTTGTGGGGAAAAAGAAAGAAAACTCCCAAGCATTCATCCCACAATGATACAACTCTTGACTTTCCTTTAAAAGGGAGATGGGTTTGAGACCAGCCCAGGCAACTTGGCGAGACGTCGTCTCTACAATAAATCAAAACTTAGCTGGGTGTGATAGCGCATGCCTGTAGTTCCAGCTACTTGGGAGGCTGAGGCAGAAGGATCGCCGGAGCCCAGCAGGTCGATACCTGGGGTGGCTGTGAGTGTGCCATGGCGCTCCAGCCTGGGTGATGGAGTGAGACTCCACCTAAAAAAAAGAATAAAATAAAGTGAGCTGGGTTGTAAATATACCCCTCCCTCTCCTAATGCAGCAATCCCCAGCCTTTTTGACATCAGGGACTGATTTCATGGAAGACAATTTTTCCATGGACAGGTGTGGTGTAGGATCATCAGGCATTAGATTGTCATAAGGAGCGTGCAACCTAGATCCCTCACATACACAGTTCACAATAGGGTTTACACTCCTATGAGAATCTATTGCTGCAGCTGATCTGGTAGGAGGCGGAGCTCTAATCACCTACTCACCTCCTGCTGTGCAGTCCAGTTCCTAGCAGGCCTCAGACAGACCATTCTAGTCCGTGGCCTAGGGGTTAGGGACCTCTGTTCCAATGAATGACTCTTGCTGGGAGCCAAGTGGTCACTTGCAAAGTGAGTGGTGATTTGTTTCTTAGAGTTATGTTTCTTAAGCTAACAACGCCTGGGTTGATTGAACGATATGTAAAAGGCATTTCTGCCACCTCCCTCTGCTTTAAAATCAGGCTCTCCTCCCTCAGATGAGATCCGCACCCTCCGAGACCAGTTGCTTTTACTGCACAACCAGCTACTGTATGAGCGTTTCAAGAGGCAGCAGCACGCTCTCCGGAACAGGCGGCTGCTGCGCAAGGTGATCAAAGCAGCAGCTCTGGAGGAACATAACGCTGCCATGGTGAGGATGGGGCGGCGAAAGCTGACTCCATTTTTTGTCTGGTTTGGGGTCAGCACGGTAGCTTGTGAAGAGCAGCAGTTGATGAGGTCAAGGTTCTCGATCCTGGCTCACAGGGATGGCTCTGGGCAGGTCCCTTAGTCTCTTAGACTAACCATGAAAACGAGATCTTGGAATGCCCTTTTAGCTCTCAGAAACCATGGGGACAAGTGAGTTTTTGTGTGTTTGCTTGTAATTGGCTATGATGATAAAGGACCAAAAGATTATTTTTCCAAATGTGAAACCAGCCGTGCTAAAGTTGTTTGTGACATAAAACTTAAGTGTGTAGGGTGTACTGGGTGTGTGAAGCCTCTCAGACCTAGTTTTGGCTTTTGACTTTATCAGGTGTTACCTTAGAAAAGTGGTTTGGCCTCTTGAAGCGTCTGTTACCAATTCTGTAAAATGGAAATTATAATAGCAGCACCTACTTTTAAAGTTGTGATGGTTAAAATAATTCATGTAAATAAGCACTTGCTCAATGCCTGGTACAGAAAATGTCCATCATTTGCTAAACCTAATCAGTACCATGTATTAGAGCTCTTGTTCTGGTATTGATGGTTAAGACTTTTGAGAGTATTGGAAGCTGAGAAATACTGAGAAAAGTTCTTTAAGTGATTTATGATCTACTTGCTAATGTGAAATTTGGAAAACCTTGACCTAAAGCCAAGTAAGACAGTAGTGAGCTGTCAGATTTTGTCTGTCTAGTGTCACTTATGACTGTTTAGATGAAATGTTTGCAATGTGTTTTAAACTTGAGCTCCACTGCCTGTGTTGGAAGGCAGCTACATGATGGCATTTCTGGTCTCTGCTAGAAAGATCAGTTGAAGTTACAAGAGAAAGACATCCAGATATGGAAGGTTAGTCTGCAGAAAGAACAAGCCAGATACAGTCAGCTTCAGGAACAGCGTGACACTGTGGTAACCCAGCTCCACAGCCAGATCCGACAGCTGCAGCATGACCGAGAAGAATTCTACAACCAGAGCCAGGAATTACAGGTATAAACTGCACACCAAGCAAGTCAACCAAGAGAAGGCAGGAAAGCAACTGGGGGGAGAGCGGAAGTGTTTTTTTTTTTTTCTTTTGAGTTGGAGTGTCACTCTGTCACCCAGACTGGAATGCAGTGGCCGCTCCCAGCCACCGCATCCTCAACCGCTGGGCTCTAGTGATCCTTCTGCCTCAACCTTCCAAGTAGCTGGAACTACAGGCGCGCACTATCATGCCCGGCTAATTTTTTTTATTTATTGTAGAGATGAGGTCTTGCCAAGTTGCCCGGGCATGTCTCGAACCCATGGGCTCAGGCAGTTCACTCACCTTGGCCTCCCAAAGCGTGGGATTACAGGTTGAACCACTAAGCCTGGCTGGAAGTGTTTTCTTAAGTTTTGTCGCCTTATTTCAGCTTAATGAAGATGAGTGCTTTTCTCTCTGAGATTATGGCAGATCTATTTCATGTCAGATCAATCTTATCTAGGGCAAAGTTTCCCCAGCCTTCTTGGTTCATAGCTTCCCTAGTGCCTCAGTAATTTTTTTCTGGCACTCTGTAACCAAAAGAAGCACTTGACAATTCTGCTCATTATGTAGATCTAAACAACCTAGTGTGTATTTATGTCCTAACAACTTAGGAGCTGCTTGGAAGTAATACACATAAATTAAAATGTTTTAAATTTTATTTTAAAATGACTGCAGTTATTAATGCCATGTGTGCATCTGTTGGGTACTGCATAGCATCTTAGATTTTGGAATCAGAGTGGACAGTGACTTTCTCATTTCCTGTTTCACATTGGTTTTCTCATGGTGCTTTTTATCACAGCAACCACTAAAAGCTTGGCTTCACAAAGATATGATAACATCCACAGACCTGCAGCACCATCTGATCCTGGACTGTCCACTACCTCCAGCTAGTTAGTAATTCACAGGGTGTCCAACAGATGTCGCTGTGTCTCCCTCAAAAATTTAAAATATTTCTGCAGCATCTCTGTGAGTTAGATGTGTAGCCCTGGGCTCTTTAGCGCACAGTTTGAGAACTGAGGCTCTAAGGTCTTCTTTTTTCTTTTGTTAAACTGTAAGTAACTCAGAAGTCAGTCATGACTTACTTTTTAAAACTAAGAAGTCAAATTCTGATGGCCCAAGAATAGTAGAATAATTAAGAACTAGGCAACTCCAATTCTCTGTGGGTTGATGGCCAGGCAGACTTCTGACCTGTTGGTGCAGCTCTTACTTCACATCCATGTCTCTTTGGGTAGACAAAGCTGGAGGACTGCAGGAACATGATTGCAGAGCTGCGGATAGAACTAAAGAAGGCCAACAACAAGGTGTGTCACACCGAACTGCTGCTCAGTCAAGTTTCTCAGAAGGTAAGACATGAGGCAGGCCCGTGTCTGTTCAGATGCCATTTGCTGACATTCTTCCTTCAGAAGGGACAAATTCTATTACTTAAGTGCCTGTGTCGGGGGCTCCCAGCAGGGAGTGATTCTGCTGTGCCCCCTCAGCCACCCACCTGCCATATTCCCCCACTAACCTCTCACCTGCCCCAGACATTTAGCAATGTCTGGAGAAATTTTAGGTTGACATTGTAGGTGCTACTGGCATCTAGTGGATAGGGGCTGGGATACTGCCAAACGTCCTACAATGCACAGACCGCTCCCTGCAACAAAAGATGTCCATCCTCAAAACCTGGTCTGTGCATATCCTGTGGAACTCTTTCTTTTACTTTGTTTTCATAAGTGCAAAACGTCCACTCAGGTTTTTGAGCTGTGTATCCTTTGGGATTCATTGCACTCTCTGCATCATTTATTGAAGAACTAGTGAGTTGCCCCTAAAGCTTTATCCCACTGGACCTTGGTCATATTCCCATCCACCTTCTTAGTTATCTTGTGGGAACATTGATATATTGCATCTGAGTTCCTTCCCCTTTGCAAAGCTCAGTTTTGAAGAGCATTTCTGTCCATTTTTGTTGCGTTTGGGTGCTGTCCTCCCCACCTACCAGCATGTTATGGAGTTTAAAACCATGGAAGCTGTTTATTCAGCCCTAGCATTGAAATCTTGTGTTCCTAGCTGGTTTTCTCTTTATTGTCATGTGTTAATTTTATGTTGTCAGGTTTTTCACTTTGCTTGTGTTTTTTGATTAGCTCTCAAATAGTGAGTCGGTCCAGCAGCAGATGGAGTTCTTGAACAGGCAGCTGTTGGTTCTTGGGGAGGTCAACGAGCTGTATTTGGAGCAACTGCAGAACAAGCATTCAGACACCACCAAGGTATGCCAGGGCTCAGGGGGCCAAACCTTAGGGGAAGAAGCTCTTTGGACTCAGACAGTATGTCCATGGCATGTTACATAGCATGACTTTATGATTCGTTTCCAGGTGTCCATTCCCCCCTCCCTGGTTCAGTAGTGCAAGCACTTTCCAGCCATCATGTGAACTTGTTTCCTTGTGTTGTGTCACTTCGAAATTAAGCCAGGTATAAGTAAAAGCACCTAAATTGGTATAGAGTCGCTATAAATGTTTTCATTTCTCTTCCCTCTGCCCCCTTTAAAAGAGAGGGAGAAAGAAGGAAGGATGGAGAGCCAATTCTGTTGAACATACCTCTCAGGACTGTGGGTATATACTGGTGTACATATCATTTTTTTTCTCCTTTTTCATGTTAAATTTCTGCGGATGGTTGTATAGTCCTGGCAACAAGACCAGATTGGGATGATCTTACATTAATTAGAGCTTCACTAGTGGTGTCAAGGTAGAAGTTTTATGTCACTGTATAAATAGCCTCAGGTGATGTTAGTGAATGAGTTGGAAATGGAATTTTAATAGTAAATGCTCAGATGCTTCCTGTCACTAACTTCTCCATCACACATGGGCCTTCTTTTTAGGATTTCTTGGGCTTGTGCTTTGTAAAGTGTCTTTTTTTGGCCAACTGTAGATCGTCATCTTAGAACTGGAGCTGTGTAATTATCATCATAGAGTTATTCCTTCTTTCTCAGCTTCTCTCAGCGTGCAGATTCAGACTCCCTTTAGAAGGATGTGAAATGTGGAACTTTCTCTTGAAATCAGCTGTCATTTATTTTGGCGGCATAATAGCTTTGGGAAGAGAAAGGAAGGGAATCAGACCTAAGGCATGAGAGAACCTCTGAGAAAGTTTACCGAGAGGGCCGGGCTTGGTGGCTCAGCCTGGTGAGTGAATTGCCTGAGCCCGCGGGTTTAAGACCCGCCCCGGCAACTTGGCAAGACCTCAGCTCTACATTAAGTAAAAAATTAGCCGGGTGTGGTAGCATGTGCCTGTAGTTCCAGCTACTTGGAAGGCTGAGGCGGAAGAATCGCCAGAGCCCAGCAGGTCGAGGCTGTGGTGGCCAGGAGCGTGCCACTGTACTCCAGTCTGAGCGACAGAGTGAGACTCCAACTCAAAAGAAAAAAAAACTTACCGAAATACATCTTTAGCATCTCCCAAGAGATGCATAGATGGACTCGCCTGTGTGGTGTGGTGTTTTTTTGGGAATTTGTACTCTTTGGGACTTTGAGTAGTCACCTGCCTCTTGGGCCCTGGCTCACAGTTCATAGCAGGGATAATGATACTGAGTTGTAATCATCAGGATGCCTTCCACTGTAAACAAATGAGGGCTGGGCACAGTTCATGCACCTGTAATTCCAGCACTTTGAGACACTGAGGTAGGAGGATTGCTTGAGCCCAGGAGGGCGAGGCCAGCCTGGGCAACATGAGACCTCATCTCTAAAACAACAACACTGTATTGGCTTAACAACGAGGAATTGTATTGTTTCACTTGACAGGAAATCCCAAGGCAGGTGAGTTTCGGGTTGGTCAGGCTGGCAATTCAGGGACAGCATAAAGGAGCCAGGCTTGTCACTCTTCTGCACTGCCTCACTGATCCTATCAGCCTTGTCCTTCTGCTAACTGGATTCATGGTTGTCAAGCGTGTGCCACACATGCAGATGTCACAAGCAGACACAATGACGTCCCGCAGAAGAGGAGAGCATCTCTTCCCATGGGTCTCTCAGCAAGAAAGCCTTTCCCAGAAACCCTCCACCACACTTCCCATCTCTTGTTGGCCAGGATTGTGCCATGTGCCTGTCTCTAGCCCAGTCATTTCCTTGACCAATCAGGATTTGCCTATGGACCTGGAGCTAGGGTTGCACTTAGGGTGGAAGAAGAGTGGGTATCTGAGAATCAGGTGGGAAACAGCCCTGGGGGGATTGTGAAGTGCCTCTGAGGTAGTTACGAGGCTTGGTGAGGGCACAAGACACTCCTTGTGCAGTACCTCGCATGATTATCCATAAGTAAGTATCCTTTGTCATTTATGACAAAGGCCAGAAGTGTTCACCTAACTTGTGCTGAAGTCTGGAGCCACTCAGCGCAGCTGGAATGGACACATCATCTGATAACCAATTCTGAGCTTCAATCTGTTGCATTCTGCACCAGGGAAACATTGGGTTTACCAGCCAACATCCAGGCAGGTATGCCTTCTTGAAATCTCATCCCCTTCTTCCTGATGGTTTATTACCTTTTTAAAAAAAACAAAATTAAGGCAAATTTTATGTTTTGTGCATTTTACCACAGTAAACACACACACAGCCTTGTTAGAAAAATATCCTTTTCGCCTTTCTTCTGAGCATGAGTGTTTACTTGCTTTGGGTCTCAAGCTGTTCTAGTCTGCCAGCAGGCAGGCCATCTGCCTTGGCATGATCAACAAGCTTTGTCAGGGTAATCGGCACATGCTGCTTTGCTTGAACACAACTGCTCCATGCATGTTGCATCCTCTAGTTTTACTTCAGCTGTTGATTAGGAAAAGGAGAAAAATATAAAGGAAAGCAAATGACCCACAGTGCTGTCATATTGAAATTATAACCAAACATTAACATGTTTTCATTTGGTGTTTTGTAAGTGTGTGTTTGCATAGTCGATCATACTGTTCAGTCTTTTAGTTCACTCTTTTATCTTTTTACTTATGGTATTTACAGTTTTTAGCTTTTATAGATATGCTGTGATGATTACTTTTGTGCAAAATGTCTATTCGTGTTTCAGATTATTTCTTTAGGGACACATTTCAAGGAAGGATTACTATGATGATACTTACTGCCAGGTTACTGTCCAGAAAGTTGTATATTTCTACTCTATCATCATTATACTAAATTGCTTTCTCATTGCTTTCTTCAAGATGGATACAGCATGTTCATTTTTTGTAAGTACTAACTCCAGTCTGGTTTTTTTAGGAAGTAGAAATGATGAAAGCTGCATATCGGAAAGAACTAGAAAAAAACAGAAACCATGTTCTCCAGCAGAATCAGAGGCTTGATACCTCCCAGAAACGAATTTTGGAACTGGAATCTCATCTGGCTAAGAAGGACCACCTTCTTCTGGAACAGAAGAAGTATTTAGAGGATGTCAAACTTCAGGCAAGGTAACTTTCTTTGGGAAAAGTTTCTGCAGTGTTGTATTCTTTATTAAGTGGAACTTCCATATTCTGGGCTGGTCTGTATCTTTCAGAGGACAACTGCAGGCTGCAGAGAGCAGGTATGAGGCACAGAAAAGGATAACCCAGGTGTTTGAATTGGAGATCTTAGATTTATATGGCAGATTGGAGAAAGATGGCCTCCTGAAAAAACTTGAAGAAGAAAAAACAGAAGCAGCTGAAGCAGCAGAAGAAAGGTAGGAACAAGGAGTTGTGTCCATGGCCTTGGGATTAAGCCGCCACTGAGCAAACAAGCATTGTGCCATGTGGTATTGTAACCAACTGTAGCTGATTAGACAGGGCTGCAGCACTTGGTTCACTACATTCCAGACAACCACCCTGACCTAGCTTTTCTCTGTATGCCCAGTGATCTTTCCATATTCCTTTTCCTGGCCTTGAGTCCCTCGATATGGCCACAGGAAGTGTTCATGTCTAAGACTGCCATCCAGCAGCTCTGGTTGTGACTTAATTTCTCCTGATGAGATCTCTTGCTTGAGTTCACAGTTATAAACCGGAGGGTGGGCTAGCAGAGGTCAGCATCAGTGTGAGTGTCAGTGTGATTCCACATCTCCTAAATGTGGTTGTGCCCATCACTAACTCCTTTTCCTCCCTTGATTTCTTATAGGCTTGACTGTTGTAATGATGGCTGCTCAGATTCCATGGTAGGGCACAATGAAGGGGCATCTGGCCACAACGGTGAGACCAAGACCCCTCGGCCTGGGAGCACCCGGGGCAGTAGTGGAAGTCGAGGAGGCGGAGGCAGCAGCAGCAGCAGCAGTGAGCTTTCCACCCCAGAGAAACCTCCCAGTCAGAGGGCAGGCCCATTCAGCAGTCGGTGGGAGATGACCATGGGAGAGCCCTCTACCAGCATCCCCACAACTGTGGGCTCACTTCCCAGCTCGAAGAGCTTCCTGGGTATGAAGGCCCGAGAGTTGTTTCGTAATAAGAGTGAAAGCCAGTGTGATGAGGACGGTGTGACCATCAGTAGCCTTTCTGACAGCCTAAAGACAGAACTGGGCAAAGATTCGGGTGTGGAAGCCAAGACTCCCCTGAACCTTGACGGCCCACACCCATCTCCCCCAAACCCAGACAGTGTTGGACAGCTACGTATCATGGACTACAATGAGACTCATCATGAACACAGCTAAGGATGAGGGTCAATCAGTGTTAACTTGCGTATTGTTGGCACAGAACAGGAGGTGTGAATGCACGTTTCAAAGCTTTCCTATTTCTGGGGTCTGAGTGGCTGGTTCCTGCGGCAGAAGTGGGATGGCGGTCCTGGACAGCTGCCTTAATGCAGAATGGTTTTTGGATCTGGCGCTGAGCTGCCTCTTGGCCTTCCCCTCGACCCATCCCAACCTCTCTTTCATTTACCTGGCAGTGTATACTAATCCGAGGGCCAGTCGCGTTCCTCAGTACCTTTTCTTCCTTTCCTCCCAAATGGTTGCATCCTTTGAACCTGTGCAACATGAGGCCAAATTTAATCTTTGAGTCTAACACACCACCTTCTGCTTCCCTGAAGCTCAGATAGCTGTGTTGGCTCTCGGTTAGAGCAGGTAGTTTGTGGCATTGCAGGTAAGTCCAAATTTGTCCCTTCCAGGAAGGCGTAGTCTGCAAAGCTAGTCATCTTCACATGAAAGCTTTTACAAAGGAGACTTTGTCACTGCTTTTTGATTCTGAAGTTCAGTGTCTAAAGCAGCAGATCTAAAAAAACAATGGTTTATTAACCCTTACATTCTTTTGGCGGTTCTGATAAACTTCCTAGAAAGTTCTGTGTGAACAAAAGCTTGTTTCAAAAATCTAGAGCTGGCACTGTGGAGACCATACTTACCCTTTGGGCAAGCCCTTGCCCCCTCCTTTCCCACTACCTCTTATTTATTTGGTGTTTGCTTGAATGCTGGTACTATTCTGACCACAGGCTGGTGTGTAGGTGGTGAAACCTGTTCTCTGTAGGAGGTGAGAGCAGTCACTTGGAGAAGTTACCCGAGAAGCAGAAAAGCTTGGTGCAGGGGGAGCTGTGCCTCCAGGCGGCTCTAGTCTAGCTGAGCCTTTGGTTAAACCCTCTGTCTGTTGGCCTCCCTTGTGTTCGCGCGCCCTCCTGTTTATGTCAGCTTTGTGACGCTGGGACAGAAAGGCTCTGAAGGTCCAAAGAGTTTCTTCAAAGTTTATGTGACCATCATTTCTCAGGCTGTTAGGGTTGCCTCATTGTAGTAGGCTCTAGGCCACCAAAAAGGGAGCAGCAGCTTTTTCATACCAATTCCACTTTCAGGGCTGACTCTCCAGGGAACCTGATGTTCTCACACTCTCCCGCGTTAGGAATGGAAGAGCAGGTTCAAGCAGAGTCTGGGAGAATGTTGACAAAGGCTGACTGTGTGTACTCACTGGGCTGCCCCACCGACTTACGAGAGAAGTGACACCAGTCAGAAAAGTGGTGGCATAGAATCCTGACTCAAAAAAAGCTCCTGAAATAAATGCTAGAAGCCTAAGAATTGCTGCCTGGTGTTCCAGCTAAGGTAGGGGACAGTTGGCAGGAAAGAGCCAGTAAACTTGGCTTTCCTGTTTCTGTTCTTTCAATAAAAAAATAGAAGAGTTTGTTTAGTCATAAAGAAGAAACTGTAATGGTACGAAATCTGACTGCATACAGAAGCTTCCAGCACGTGAGGATAAAAGTCTTTTTTTTAAGAGTGGCAATAAACATTCTAGCATCCCTCACTAAAGGAACCTTGACAATTAGAAACTCCGTGTCACCGTGGCTATACTGGCAGAAGACCTGTTTGGGGCAGGCTTTATGGGTGTGACTGTTCCCAGCCTATGGCAGGACATGGCCCCGGCTGTTCTCAGCCCTGCACAGGCTGGTTGTCTAAAATGTGGAGTGTGGTGATGCCACACATTTAATTCAGCTTTGTCCAAAGGAAAACTTAAAATCCAGTATGTTTTAGTTTCCTGGTTCAGTTTTAGAAAAGGAAAATGTGAACAAATTCAGAAAGGGGGGGATGCCGTAGATCAACTATTGAAACTGTTCTAAGTGCTTTCTCCCCTTGCAGCTCAAGAGAATTGTGCCACAGAACAAAGATATCAGGCACGTAAATCAAAGTTTTTTCCTTAACTGGCAAAGAAGCCAGTGTAAAAAAGAAGAAAACGCTTTAAAAATGGACAGATTGTCAAAATATAGGGAAGAAAGGAGGCAGCATGGTAAAGTGATGGGGGCATAGGCTGGGGGCTCCCAAGACACATCCGTGCTCAAGGTGCTGGTGCATTCCTCCAGCCTGGCTGTCACTTGCCTTGACTTGCCTTTACAGCCAAGGTGGACCCAGGTGAGCTCCAGCTCAAGTGCCTTTGGGTTCTCGGAGGCCGGTGGGTTTTGTGCAACAAGGTGGGGGATTGAGGCCTGGAGTAGTGTTAAAGTTATCCAAGCCAAACATTTAGGCTTTTATGTGGCAAAGGATTCCAGAATCAATAGTAAGATTTGCTTTGTTTTGGAAGTTTGCTTTGTTTTGAGTGACAAACCTGTCACTCAAGTGAGTCAGCGGCTCACTTGATCATACTGCATGAGTTTTGAGGACGAAAAGTTGGTGGTAGATGTCCCAAGAGGCAATTTAGGCCCGGGCAAAGTTTGAACAATTAGCATCAAGGGCAGAGCTTGTTCTGCAACTGGTAAAGCAGTGTGGCAGTTATAAATGTTGGTATCGGGTACCCTCCATCCCAAAATCACTGTGAGTGAGTGTCCTTGTCTCAGAGCTGTGTGGCCAGTGTGTGTAACCTGTTCTGCTTCCCACCTGACACTAACCAGGGTCAGCACAGACCCGGAGAGACTGGAGTCTGCTTCTTATGCAGCATGGAATTTGTTTTTTAAATGAGCACTACAATATTACTGGGGTGGGAGGGATAGGAAGATGCAGAGAAAATGAGTTCCTGGCTCTACTAGGGTAGATAAGCACACGGATCTCTATCTAATAGAACTTTTCTGGACTTTTAAAAAGCTTTTGACAAGGCTCTGCCCTAGTCTATAAAAATTATTAATATGGGATTGGAAGAAATATGTGGTCATGAATATAAGAAAACTGACTGAAATCCAAAGGTAGACAGATGGTCGAGGTCATTTCGTAGGTTTTCAGAAATATCCTTGGAGATAGGTACTAGGACTGGCATTCCTAAGTAGGTGGGCAGACTCTGAGCTCTCTAGATTTGCCCACAGTGTTTTTCAGAGAGAAAACTGCCTGACCTTTGGGAATGAGCTGCAGAAGATTCTTATTAGGCTCGATGAGCAGAGAGGTGATAGATGAGCTACTTTGTGAGCAAAACTTATGTGGTTAGAGGAACACAGGCAAAACTATTCCTAGAAGGTAAACCGTGACCTAGGAAAAGGTCCTGGAAGCCACTGACAGAAAAATTAGCTCAGTGTGCCACCTGGCCAGAGAGGCTAGCACGTCACTAAGCAAAAGTAGGTCAATAGCAAACAAAACCCCAAACTCGGGCAGTTCCTATTTGCAACAGTACGTGTAGTTTCTGGTGTTTGTGTCAGGAAAGACATAAGGCCAGCAGTTGTTTGGAGGAGGATGCATACTATGGTCGTGGGATGAAAGGATCTTCGTGATCAGGGGCAGCTAAGAGTAGAAAACTGGGTGTGCGTAGACAACAGAACTGAAGTGTGCTGTGACTAGCCACTGTGAAAGTCTACCAAATACTACAACATACCACTTGAAGCCAGAAAGAGACTGAAGAACGAACAAAAGCACGGTAACGATACTGAGTTTCCTCACCGAAAGCACCAGGAGGTGGGGGAGGTGTGAACAGGTTGGAGGAGGGTCCTGACAGGGTGAAGACTGGCCCGGGACTGCAGTGAGATGGAGCGCCACCCACCTGAATGTATCCCTTTGGGGAGTGGTCCTGGGAGAAGCTGGGTCCCACCCAGGAGGCTCTGCCTCACTCGGAGAAGAAAGCTACCCACTTTATCTGCTGTGTCTTCACTCTGCAAGGTCCCTGCTTTAAAACTGACCTGCAGTGAATACTGAGAAACGTATCCAGTCTGAAGATGTTTCTGTATCTGTTTACATCTGGAGTTCCGTGACACAAGCCCTTCAACCTCCCCCAGATGGCTGCAGAGACATTCATTGCACTTGATAAAGCTTGTGTCTGTAGGTAAAAGAACAACTTTTGGTGGATGACTGGCCCCTAGGCTGCTGCTGTGACCCTTGTCCCTTGTCCCCATGCAGCTCGTTTCCTTGTTTGAGACTCTTCGATGTGCCCTATGAGCGTGCTTCTGTCTCTTCCATGCCGTCCTACAGGCTGTGTTCACCTGAGGGAAGAGTGACTGTAGCTACAAGGGAAACCTCCTTGGGATAGTCAGGAACCTGCATCCACAACTGCTTTTGACCTTGAAACGAGTTAATGAGGGCAGAGGAGCTTCTCCCAATGCCTTCCCAATACCACAGAAGTGTCCATTCTCTGGGATAAGTCGGCTGGTTTAACCATTGGAATGGGTCTTTTAGGAGAGACCCTGAGAGTTTGAGAACCCCCAGACCAGCCCCTTCCTCCCTTTCCCCACCTTAATACAGTGTTTGGACAGGAGGGCCTGGTGCTGCTCTGTGTAGCAATACTCGGGCTCATCAAAGAGGTAGCCAGGCATTGTGTACTAGGAAGAATCAGTGATCACTTTCAGAAGACTTATATGGACCACAAGTATATTACGGAGGAACAGATTTTGCTACGACATAATCTAGTTTTATAACTCAATCATGGATGAACCATATGTGGCTAACTTGCAGTTTAAAGGGGTCCCATCAGTGAAAAACGTTTTTTAAACTGACTGCTTTTAGTTAAATTGAAGAAAGTTATTTCTTGTCAAAAGGTTTAACAGCCCCGCCTTGATCTTAAAAGCATGTCAAACAATCCACATCAGATGCCATAAATATGAACTGCAAGAGAAAATGGTACAATCTTAGTGAATGGGAATTGGAATAAAAAAGGTTTGCTGTCCTTCTTAGAATGTCCTAAAATGTCAAGGCAGTTGCTTGTGTTTAACTGTGAACAAATAAAAATTTATTGTTTTGCACTACTCTTCTGTGTTGACATGGAGTGACTTCCGCTGGCTCGGCAGCTCATAGGTGCCAGGGGTTAGCCCAGAGACACAGGTCTGAGGGTCTAGATGGTTACCTCGGGTGGGTGGGGGAGGGGGTATCAAACAATGGAGTCCGGCTTTGCCCCGAAGACCCTTCTTGTGCTGACAAATGATCCTGCACACAGCCACAAATCCTACCTTCATCTGCCTCAGATCCCTGCTCTTTCCCCGCGGCATCCTGTGGGAGGAGTGACCTGAGTTCCCTCAGCCGGAGGGGTCACACTGCCTGGCCTTGCTGTGGGTGCTTGCATTCCCAGGGGTCGGCCAGCATGGCCGGCCACCAGGACTTCCCACTGGCACTCCCACGTCCTAGAGCTGGCCCACTGCCCGGGCCTTGCTGGCCGTGTTGTGTGAGTGTGCCAAGGACACTGCAGCTCCCATCCCTGCCTTCTCCATGCCTTTCAGGAACGTGGAGGGCTGGCAGTGTGCCTTGGGATGTCCAGGCTGGCAGTGTGCCTTGGGATGTCCTGGCTTTCTGGCCTCTGCCTGCCTGTGTGGAAATCATCGCTCTGCCCATTTTCACGGTGGAAGCGACTCCTGAGAGACTAAGACTCAGCTTTTGATTTGTCTGGAAAATTCAGGCTTTCCTGCCTGAACAGGCCTCTAACTAGACTCCCCACCCTTGGAGAAGAGTCTGAGTGCTGGCCCCCTGGATGGCTGGCATGAACCTGTTAGAAGCAGACTCTCTCTTGGGTGGGCACACCCCTGTGAGAGGTTTCCCTCTCTCTCTGCTGTCTGCTAGCCGATTTGCTTGTGTGGCTATTGCCCTTTGCTGATTTAGGAGAGATGTAGGGTTTTTTTCAGGGATAAATCCCAGGAAACCAAGCCAGACAGAGAGGTGGTAGAACGCTCTTTATTCTTGACCGTCTCCCCCTGAGGAAGCAACAATACAGAAGCTAAGTCGTCCCCTGTGAAGGGAAAAACCAACAGTCAGACATGACTTAAGGCAAACTCAGTAGCTGGGGACACATTTCACAATGCTTGGGGCTCAGCTATGCCATGAAAACCAGGTTGTGATCCTTGTACAGGGGCCACGGAATCAGAATTCTTCCAGCTTCTGCCATGGTCTCTTTCAAGGAAAGGAGAGGGAGAGATGGGCTCAATCCCCTTTGCCTTCAGTCCAGAGAACTAAACTCACTGAGGCCCTCGCTCAAGCCCGGAGGGCAGCATCCCTGTCCACAGACAAGAACGTGAGCCTTGCCTACGGTGTGCAGGTGTGGGGGACAAGGAGCTAGATGGTCCTCTCTAGCATGATGGCCCACTGTGGTGGGCCTGGGCCTGTGGTGGGTACGGAGGCTCAGTGCCCTTCCTTATGACCAGCCTTCCTGGGACCCCTCTACTCGTGTAAGTGGGTTTCCTCTTCAGCACAGAGCCTGACGCCTTGAGGTGGAAATGTTAGAAGTGAAAGCAAGAAAGGGAGAGAGATTCTCAGTATTATACTGGCTGATCCCCTTTTTAAGGTTACTAAGTGCAGCAACTATGGGCACCAGTGAAAATGGATCAACCAGTGGAAGCTGAATTAAATCACAAAACCCCTCTGCCCCTGCAATGGGGCAGGTCCCTGGCTTTGAGTTATAATTTACCACCAGGTGGTCTCCAGGGAGCTTTGGAACATCCTTTGTCTTTCCCCCTAGGTCTGAGGCTGTCTTTGGTGAGCTGCCTACACTTGTATTTTCTGAACCAAGGCTGGGTGCCGGTGGCATGCGTGGCTCCCCCGGAGGTGTCCTGGAGTGCCTGGGGCTCACTCACATGCTGCAGCACCTTGCGGGGCAGCTTCTCCGAGTGGGCGACCCATTCTTTCATCAAGTCTATGATGATGGGAATGAGGCTGACCACGCCTCCATAGTGGTTCCTGGCCTCGTCACAGCTGAGGTGGTTCACCACATCGTGAGGGTATCTGCAGGATAGCAAGAAGGGGCTAGGTGAGTCCAGGTCCCAGGACCCATCATGCCAGACCCTGGGCACAGCAGAGTTTCCTGGCAAGGTCTCGGAACTGGACACACTGTGCTCAGGCTTTGTGTCCTTGGACATTCTGGTTCAGCAAATCTGGGGGGCCACAAGCCCCAGGTGATTACCATGTGAAAGGCAGAATCTGGGTTGGGGCAGAGAAGTCTGCTGGCTCCTCCCTTTGACCTTTCTCACCTTATGGTGCTATGGATAGCTGGGTGCCAGGATGAGGGAACCCATAGTGGTGCCCACGAGAAACAGTTGTGTCCATTTCTTTGCATGTCAGTGAGGATCTCTGTGGGTTCCCTCAGGACAACTGTTCTATACCTCCCCCCTCCCCTTGCCCTGTGCTAACTCCAGGGAGTTGTTTGGTGTCCTGCTGTGTTTACAACTGGTCTTAAAGAAAAGGTCTTGGCCGCTGCCATGGCTCATGCCTGTAATCCCAGCACTTTGGGAGGCCAAGGCGAGAAGATTGCCTGAGCCCAGCAGGCTGAGGCTGCAGTGGTTGTGAGTGTACTGCTGCACTCCAGCCCAGGTGATAGAATGAGACTCTGACTCAAAATAAATAAATAACAAAGAAAAGGTCTTGTTGAGTTGGAGTTATTCCAGTAAATTAACCAATGGGGACTAGGACTTCCCGCCCATGGCAGTCTCAAGAGTAGCCACAGGCTCCTCGTGACAGAGGTAGCAGGGCTACAGACCTTGCCTTGTCCTTCCCATAGGCACATGTGGGTCCTCAAGACCAGAAGGGACTTACTTCGCTCTGAGGCTGCTCAAGTCATTGCTTTGGCTAACGAGGGTTTTGCATTTCTCGAGGAGGTTGTTGGTGACCGGGGTGCCAGAGTGCAGGACCTCAAAGTGCTGGCAGAGTTTGTTCAGCTCCGAACAGATGTCCAGGAACATAAGCAGAATCCGTCGGTCTGTCGAGTTGTGGCAGTAGTGTTCCATGTAGCTCTGCACCTGAAGAGACATCGCCACGTGAGCCAATGAGATGCTGATGCAGATCCCAACTGGCTTATGGAACAAACAGCCAGGAGCACTCACCCTCCTCCATCCCACACTCCCCGGTTCACAGACATGCAGGTAACACTTAAGCATTTTAATGTACAAGTACAACTCACATCATGAAGGGTCCCAGGCACTGTGCAAATGCTCTGCAAGCCTGATCTCACTCCGCATCTAAACCCTGGACATTGAGTAGGTGCTTTTTCTTTTTGGGGGGTTGGAGTCTCACTCTGTCACCCATGCTGGAGTACAGTAGCACAATCACTGCCCATTGCAGCTTTGACCTCCCAGGCCCAGGCTACCCTTCTGCCATAACCTCCTGAGTAGTGAGACTGTAGGTGTGCACCACCACGCTTGGCTACTTTAAAAAATTTTTTTTGTAGAGACTAGATCTCACTCTGTTGCCCAGGCTGGTCTCAAACTCCTTTAGGCCAAAGCAATCCTCCCACCTCAGCCTCCCAAAGTGCTGGGTTTATAAGTGTGAGCCACCATGCCCAGCCTCTCTGATCTACTTTAAACTCTTATTTGGTGGGAGCATAGAGACCCTTCCTGGGTCGAGCTCCTTCTCCAGAGTTATCTGGGACCACCCGGTGACTCTGCATCTGAGGGTGGGCCAGAGTCAGAAGCCTGATCTTACGCTGGGGAGAAACTGACTCTGGTCCAGACCAGATTAAATGACCCATTTCACAGTCAAATTGTTGTATGCTTCACAATCTGATGATGGGAGGGGTTATGGTCCACCTCCTTCAGCACCCGGAAAGTTCTATGTCTAAACCTGGGTTTTCCTGCTGCAACCAGTTGACTTTTTGTTACCAAGAGATAACTCCCCAAACAATCTGAAGTGGTTCCCTCCCAATTATCACCAGGCACACAGCAGTTTTATGTGTGTGTGTGTTGGGGGGAGGGTCTGACACACCCACCTCGGGCACCTGTGGAGGGTGAGGGGGGAACCCGCACCAAGGTGTAACTACAACAGAACAGCTACCATTTACATGTGCAAGTAACCTTTGGACACCTCTGGTTCTGGGAGGGCAGGTGAGGGTGACAATCAACACTCCATCTAGAGAGAACACAAGACCACTGTTGACCAAGCGCCTTCTGTTGAACCCAAGGCAAGAAGGCCACTCCCTTACGAACAGAAGGGAGTAGGGGTGGGGGGTGTCACATAGCACTGATGCAGATCCTCATGGGGGAACTTGGGTTACCTTTTGGAGCTAATGGGAGATAATCTAAAAAGGATGGAGCCAGTTTATTTTCAAATAGGTCAAATGTTTCAAATTGGTGAATCTGAATCTAGGTGACGGTTATGTGGGTATTCCTTTGTGGTCTCTCTCTCTCTCTTTTTTTTTTTTTGGAGTCAGAGTCTTACTCTGTTGCCCAGGCTAGAGTGCAGTAGCACAACCAAGGCTCAACGCAGCCTCAACCTCCTGGGCTCAGACAATCCTCCTGCCTCAGCCTCTTGAGTAGCTGGAGCTACAGGCATGTGTCACCATGCCCAGCTATATTTTTTTACTTTTTGTAGAGACAGGGTCTCGCTGTGTTGCCCAGGCTGGTCTCTAACTCCTGACCTCAAGTGATCCTCCCACCTTGGCCTCCCACAGTGTTGGGATTAGAGGTGTGAGCCACAGTGCCTGGCCCCTTTTCTGTACATTAGACATTTTTCAGGTTAAAAAAATTGAAATTATACAAAAACTGGAAAAAGAAATTTTATGGATGCTGTGAGCAAAGGTTGCTTGTTCTCCACTGCTCTTTTCGCCTCAGTTCTGTGCCCTGTACCCAGTCCCACCCATGTCTCTGAGCAGCTGTCCTCCCATAAGCTGACTCCATGGGCTGTGAGGGCCCCGCCCGACGTGTTTGTTCTGAGAGGCACTGTGGCTCCAGCCCCTAACTTCCTGGAAGGCTCATTTGGTCTTGAGGCCTCCAAGTCCTGCAGAGTGAATTTGGTCAGCAGCTAACCCTTGAGAAGACATGTTAAATTAAAACATCAGCTGGACATGGTGGTTCACACCTGTAATCCCAGCACTTTGGGAGGCTGAGGTGGGAGGACTGCCTGAGCCCAGGGGTTTGAGACCAGCCTGGACATCATAGCAAGACCTCATCTCTATAAAAAAAAAATTTAAAAATTAGCCAAGTGTGATGGTATGTGTCTGCAGTTCCAATTACTCAGGAGTCTGAGTTGGAAGGATTCCTCAGCCTAAGAGGTTGAGGCTGTGGTGAGCCATGATCATGCCACTGCACTCCAGCCTGGGTGACAGAGTGAGATCCTCAGAAAAGAAAATCTGCAAAAAGTGCCTGGCAGTGAGCCTGGTATGTTACAGTCTCTCAAACCCAGTAGAATCCAATGGGATGGACCGTGTCTGTCTGGTCACCAATAAATCCCGTTTCCATGGATGATCTCCCCAAATCTGCCTAACAGATGAGGAAACTGAGGCATAGAGAGGTAAAGTTAGTGGCCCAAGGTCACAGAGGTGGCATGTGGCGAGCCAGGACTTCCACCCTGGCCAGCCAAGGCTGGAACCCCGCCTCATTCCACCAGTGAGGATTGGGGCTGATTCTGGCACACACATGCTTCCCCTCTCTCTCTGGGCCTCAGCTTTCCCATCTTTCAAGAGTGACTCGGGCGTGGGAGCCACCTGGCCGATGCTGGAGATGGGCCGGATCTTGTCATGGGCGTTCTCCCTGCAGTGCTCCAGGGCAGCGATGAAGGTGAACTGCTGCTGCTGGAAGAGCTTATACTTCTGCTCGATGCTGCGAAGGGATTCTTTTGCCTCATTCATTGTCTCCCTCTGTGGTCATTGACAGGAGAGGAGAAATCTGCAGGGAGGAGGAGGAGAGCCATGAGGTCCGGCTCTGCAGGGTAGGGTCCTCTGGTGAGGGTACTCTGGTGAGAAGGGTGCCCCTTGCCCTCTAGTGAGAAGAGCACTGTGCAGAGAGTCTCTCCACAACCCTGGGGGCAGGTGCTGTTTTCATTCCATTTTGCTAAGAAGAAAGCTAGGCCCCGGGAAGCTGCACACTTGCTTCCAGAAGCTTCAGGTTGTCCACGACAGAGCTTACCCTCGCCATTTACCCTCCACAGACACATTCTTACAAAGTGGGACTTCCTCCCCTCAGCTAGGGTCAGAGTTTCTCTGGTCCTCAGGTTCTCCAGATAGAGGGTGTTTACACACACACACACACACACACACACACACACACACACACACACACACACACAGCCTCCAGTGCCTCCCTGTGCCACAGGATGTAAAAGCAGCATACTGTCAGTTGAGACCAAATTATTTTGACCTCCACTCTGCAATCAGTGGGGAGGTCCAGGTAGCCCTTCCTGTGGACTAAGCAGGGGAAGAGTCAACACGTGATTGGCCAGTTTGAGAAGACATAGGTCTCCCTGCTCTGTGCTGGAGGCAGGAGGCCTGGTCTCAGGTTTGCCGATTCCCAGCGGGGGTGGTGGCTGGTGGACTTCCCCTGCCTGTGTTAATTGCTGGATGATCCTGACCAGTAACATCAGTGCTGCAGGAGTGCTCTTTGGTGCCTCGCAGACTGTGCCTGTTGTGATTCAGGTGGTCCACAGCGTGTCTAGGACCCTCCTGAGAGCAGAAAAGGCTGTGGGTTCTGCACTCCACGACATCAGTTTTGCCAAACAGCTACCAGATGCAGATTCATGTAACATTAGAGCTGGAAGGGATCTCAGTAGGTCAACACTCCTGAACTTCTGGGGGGAAACTGAGGCTCAGAGAAAAAGGATCTGCCCAGGGTATCACATTTTGAGTTTGTGCCAGAGACACCCTGGGTCCCAGCATCCTTATGGCTACCACGAGAGCACAGATCTAGGCGCAAATGTGGCAGCCTGTGCCACGGGAGCAGGGATCAGAGAACGCTGTGGCGAGGCAGGGCCCAAGGGAGATGCTGGAAGTGGAAAGGGCCAGAACACCTGGCAGGGATGGGGGTGGGACAGGCACATTCCAGGTCTCCAGGCAGGTCCCAGGAGGCGGGGAGCGGAAGCAGGACAGAGCCAGAGGCACCTCCTTCCGCTATGTCTGAGCAGGGCTGGAGCAGGGGAGGGTGTGTCTGTGGCATCAGGAATGAATGAAATAATGCAAGAATAGCCGAGGAGACAGCCTCCATGAGATGACAGGTGGGGTGAATCGAGAACTTGGAGAGGGCTGGGTTAGAGGCTCTTCTGCAAGATGGAGCCCAGCTGTCCTTGGAGCGCCTCAGAAGGGACCCTAACAATTGTTCCTCATCGACCCAGTGGGCCTCCTGGAAACATTACGGAGCTTACTTCCACAGCAGGAGCCACAGCACTGTGCCTGTCAACAGACTTGGAGGGCTGCAGCTCCACTGGGAGTGGGCCTGGTTCAGGGCGGGGCAGAGGCTTCCTCCCAGCCCAGTCTCCCTGGTTTACTGAACACCTGCCATGTCCTTGCCTGCTCCTGCCTTCTCTGTGGGCACAGTAGTTTTCTGCCGTGCTTCAAATGGTGTCTGGCTCACCAAGGCCTGAATAGGGTGAGGTGAGGGAGGCTTTTACCTCCATACAAAACTTAAAGGGGTGCCAAGAAACTCAGCAGTCAAGATAGATACAAAATATTTTAAGAAAGATACATTTTTAAAAGTTCACAACTGGGCACGGTGCCTCAAGCCTATAATCCCAGCACTTTGGGAGGCCGAGGCGAGAGGACTACCTGAGCCCGTGGGTTCGAGACCAGCCTGGACAACATGGTGAGACCTCGTCTCTACAATAAATCAAAAATTAGCCAGGCGTGGTAGCGTGCACCTGTAGTTCTGGCTACTTATAAGGCTGAGAAGGAAGGATCACCAGGGCCCAGCAGGTTGATGCTGGGGTGGCTGGGAGTGTGCCACTGCACTCCAGCCTGGGTGACAGAGTGAGACTCCAACTCAAAAAAAAAAAAAAGTCTGCAAAGAAAAAAATATCAGAATTTTAAAAGGATTGCTATGCCTTGCTATATTAGAACCTGAGGCAACATTAAAATCAGTAATACTAATCTTGTCTTTATTTAAATTTGTGGTATCTTATTCTGTTTATTTTTTCCTGAGCCACACCCAGCTTCTTTATGAACTTTTAAAGTCATATTTCTTAAAATATTTTGTATCTATCTTGATTGCTGAGTTTCTTGGCACCCCCTTACTATAGGCATGCGCCACCACACCCAGCTAATTTTTTGGTTTATTGCAGAGATGAGGTCTTGCCAAGTTGCCCAGGCTGGTCTCGAACCCCCAGGCTCAGGCAATCTTCTTGCCTCAGCCTCCCCAAGTGCTGGGATTACAGGCATGAGACACCACACCCAGCCACAAGTCTGGGGTCTTAACTTGGGTGCCGCCCTCCCTCCATAATGGTCCTTGGAGATAAACAAGTCAGACATCAGACTGATTGTGGGTAGGGAGATGGGAATTCCAAGGATCTGAAAAGCTACCTGACCTTGTCTTGGATCCATCTACTAGCTGGACCCCTAGGCTTCACTTCCATTCCACTGGACTTTCTTTCCCCAACCCCAAGCAATGAGAACATTCAGGAACCTGCCTTTGTGTGCCCTACTCCCTGGCACCCTCTTGAGGCGTCCTGGGGCTGCCAAGTTCTTCAAAGATACAGCGTTTCCTTGCCTGGTGGCCCCAAGAGCCCCTGAGAGCAAAACTGACTCTGTGCTTGATCCTAGTAACTTGTGACATGCACACATGGAATGTCATGAGAGGAGCTGTAATAAACTATCCAAAGTGATAGTCCCTTGAACGAGAGTCACTGCAGCCAAATTAGTATGGATGAAAGGCATAGGGTGCAGGCACTTCTCCATCTGGGGGGAGGAGGAAGGAAAAAAATGATTACCCGATAGATTTTAGGCTTTAATTGATTTGTATTTTTCCAGGCTGCTAAAGAAGATTAAACCATGGTATGAAAAGTGCCTAGGGCTTAAAATAAATGAGGAGAAAAGCAAGTCATTTCAGGAATGTCCAGGAAGCAAACTGCGCCTCTCCGGTGCAAACTGCAGGCTTGGTTGTTGTGTTCTTTGTTCAGGGTAGGCAGCTTCCTTTTCTTCCCCAGCTGTCTGTACCGTTGGGTTTGACAAGCCTACCAAGGTGTGCACTCTTTGAGGAAGCAGTTTTAAGGCGGAAGATACAACGTGGCTGCCTTTTACCAACGGAGGGCTCTGGGGGGGTTGGTATAAGATGGTTTTGGCTGGAGTCAGGATGTCTGGTTCAAGTCCTGGCTCTGATTTAACCAGTGACCCTAGCCAAGACTTCTCCCCTTTCTGGGCCTCAGTTTATATATCTGTAAAATGAGGGAGTTTGGATGGGAGGCTCTTTAAGAAGCCCTCTCTGAGTCTAATGTTCTATGATCAAGGACTAATGAGGAAAGAGGCCCAGAAAGGTGGAATGACTTACCCAAAGTCACCTAGCCAACTACTCATCACTGTTCTGATCCTTCAGTTTCTCATCTGTAAACTGAGAATGAAGGTGTCTATTTCACAGAATTGTTGCAAAGATTAAATAAGATAATACTACCCATAGTAACCCCCATGTATTGGGGCTTTGTGTGCTTACTGCATGCCAGTTGCTCTCTAATTCTTCAATACATTCGCTTTTGAAATCCTTCAATAATCCCCACTTCACAGGGGAGGAGAGTGAGGCACTAAGCAAGTAAGTAGTTTGCAAAGCTCACACAGCTCGTAAGAAAGTGGACCAGAGCTTGAATTTTACGCTGTGTTGACTATCCCTTCCCATAATGTACACAGACAACAGAGTTTTGTGGAGAGCACAAAGTAAGAGTTCAACAAACGGTACCCCCTACTTTTTTTTTTTTTTTTTGAGTCAGTCTCACTTGTCGCCCATGCTGGAGTGCACAGCCACCCCAGCATTGGTCTGCTGGGCTAAGGCGATCCGGAAGCCCTCAGCCTTCCAAGTAGCCGAAACTACAGACACGCGCTACCACACCTGGTTAATTTTTTTTTATATATTGTAAAGACGAGGGCTCACCAAGTTGCCCAGGTTGGTCTCGAACCCCTGGGCTCAGGCAATCCTCTCGCCTCGGCCTCTCAAAGTGCTGGGATTACAGGCTTGAGC